TATAAGCAAAACAAATAAAACATGTTTATAAAAGTTGTATCTTGAAACACTGGTGTTCAACAGTTAGCAGCTTATGTGATTCACCCCATGCAATGTTAGTGTCACAAATTTTATGGTTATCTCCAGCAGCCATTTCTCTAGTACTTGCACTTATATTTTGTCTATTTAACCCTAATTGAATTCTCCTTTTCTCATGGAGGCATTTGTATTCCAAGTGGTGATTCCTACCCTTAGATGCATAGGGAGAGTCTCAAGTTTGGTGGAAACGGACAGTTGAGTGGTGACTTAGCCTATGTACCACGTTGGAGTTTGTGCGAGCAGTTCGAGCAGCGGTTCTGTGTGCCTGTGAACTTGACGCTGCTGTGTCTCATTCCACTTTGACTTCATGGAGAATTAATACCACCTATTGAGCAAAGGCTACTAAGTTCATGGTATTTTCTGTGCAGAAATTAAATTTTATTTTCAGCCTTTAGCTAAGGAATTTTTCCAGTAGGTGCTCAGCTACTTAAAAACAAAGCTATTCTCAAACATTCATCATTAGACAACTGGAGTTTTTGCTGGTTTTGTAACCTACTAAAATGGATAGGCTGTTGAACATTCCACATTCAAAAGTTTTGTAGGGTGGTGGGGAACGGGGGGATCTTCAATGTTTATTTTAAAATAAAATAAGTTCTTGACTTTTCTCATGTGTGGTTGTGGTACATCATATTGGAAGGGTTAATCTGTTTACTTTTGCAAATGAGTATTTCTTTTGCTAGCACCTCCCCTTGCGTGCTTTAAATGACATCTGCCTGGGATGTACCACAACCATATGTTAGCTGTATTTTAGGGCTGTATAAAATATTCATGGTTTACTGGGTAATCCCTAAAAGATGTATGCTTGCAGTCCTCTATAAAACTAAATTTGCTATCTCTGTAGAAAATAATTTCATGACATTTACAATCAAAATTGAAGTAAATAAGTTCTTTATACAGCGATCTCTATGAATCAGTTCAGAGATGGGTTGGGGGAGAAAAGCCTTCTAAGTTTCAAACGTCTATGCATTAGTGCGTATGTTACAAATGTGTAAAGGTGTTCATAGTTTGATTATTTCTTTGTATGTTTTTAAAAGAATTGTTCTTTTCAAAGTACTATAATTTTATTTTGGCATTCTACTATCACAGTTTAAATGTAAACCTTTTTGTGTCTCAATTCAGACCATATTTTTTAAAGGAGTGCCTCAGGGGGCAGAGAACTTTCCAAAATGCCCCATTAAGATCTGAATCTTGGTACTAGTATTCTGTATAATATGTGAATGCTTGTCCTAGCTGCAGAAGGCCTTTTGTTTGGTCAAATGCATATTTTAGCAGAGTTGCAAGGAAATGATTGTCACACATGTCACTATAGCCTCTTGGTGTAGCAAGACCACATATAAAATACTTTTGTACATGTACAATATCAATCATCTCACGTGGATAATGAAACTTCTTTTTTAAAGCTTTAGTAAAGGTAGAATGTTATTGATTACCTTGATTAGGGCAGTTTATTTCCAGATCCTCATATTCCTAAATAATATGGAGTTTTTCCAATCATTGTATCTTGATATTAAAACAAATATCCTTTAAGTGTGTTTTTGATCAGTTAAGTTTTTACAGTTCTTTTGTCTCCTTATATATGCAACTCTGTTGTGTGGGAGACTTTTCCACTTACAGGAGACATGAGAATGTGCTTATTCTCAGAAAGCTCATTAACTGAGGTGTCAGTTGACAACCAATTCATAAAATATAGAAGGGTAGTTAAGCAGTCAGCTTCCTAAATGTCTTAGGAAATTTGGATTGTTCATTATATTTGCAACAGTATATCTAATTAGGGGAAATGGGACGTGGGTAAGCACTGAATTCAAACCCTTCATTTTGTCTTTAAGCTCCTTAATCTGCATTCTACTTGAATTCTTATTAAGCACTCTACATTTAACTGATTATAAGTTATATTACAAAAAATCAGTATTGCCTTTGAGCTTGTCCCTTTCATGGAGTTAATGGGGAGGAAAACCTTCAGGAAAATTTAAGTACATTGTTAAGGCTCATCTTTATACCTTTTCCCATTTTGAATTCTACAAAAATACTGGGAAAGACTAGTGAATGTTTTAAATTACATTAGATTAAATTACACAAAGACCTGATTCATTATCCTTGAACGAAGTTTGCTGCAGTCGTAGATGCCATCCAGCACAGGTGTAAGTGAAATGCCACTTGTAAGAAGAAAGGAAAAGGCTTAAATCTATCTGGTAGCCTCATCTTCTAAGGTGGCTAGCCTGCTGATACGCTTTCTCAACCTCTACAGTACTAATACCCTACTTTAACAAACTGTAAACCTAATCCAATTGCAAGTACCTGACTGGCTCTTGTGAGTATAGGCAGTGAAGGACCAGCAGTTTGTCCATGATCATCTGGTAAAGGCAGTTTTTAGTGTTCTATTATTCCTTATTTGGAAGCATGAGCTTTATTTAAGTACTGTGTTTATATTAGGGGGACACTGTATTAAGCCGTTGAACTAAGGCTTTATTCATCCAATTTGGATATCCTTTGCAGGGCATCATGCCAAGCACTAGGCATTAAGTGGTGACAAGAAACACTGGTTCCTGCTTTCATTGAACTGTCTAATCAAAGACACTGATGTGACACAAAAGTGTGCCAAATGCCATGGTGGAGCAGTGTGGTTGGTGGTAGATACTAAGGCCGTGACTGATAGGGTATGACCTAGTCAAAATGATCAGGAACGACTACATTGAAAGGGATAATTGAGCTAGAAGGATGAGGAGTAGTAAACTAGACGAGGGGAGAGAAGAGTACATCTAAAGGTCCATTCTCCAGTGACAGAAAACTCGGGCTCAAGTGGAAAGAGTAAGGATTAGCAGAGTTAAAGGCTGGAGAAATAGGGCTGTTATGGACAGCTTTATAGGAAAATTCCATGTTAAGTTTTGTCTTTAAACAGTTGGGAACTATTGAAGGTTTTTAAGCTATGTGTATATTGTTGGGGGTGGGGATGGTGGGTCATCTAATAAAATTGCCATTTAAAGAACACTCAGTGCAGTGTTGAGAACAAAATGTATGGGACAAGAGAGTAGGAGGCTTATTGGAGTAGCCCATGTGAGAAATGATTGATTGTATGTAATGTAAACTAAGGTGGGGGTGGGGGTGGTGAATGGATTCAATAGCTTTCCTGTGTCACTGGTCTCTGCTCCATATCCTTTGCTGATTTCTCCAGGCCTTGGATATCAGACTTTATTTTTAGCTATACTCTTCCCAGGGTGATCTCATCCAATCCCATGATTTTAACTACAGTCAGCATTCTGATCGCTCCTAAATATTTCAAGGTCCCAAACCCCGCAAAACTTGTAACTCATACACAACATCTTCATTTGAATGTCAGGTATTCCAGTTCCCTTGATTACCCAGCTGTATTACATTCACTCAGTTGCTCAGGGCAGATGCTTTGAGTACTATCTTTAATTTCCTTTCATACCCTGCATCTAATCTTTAAGCAGACCCACATGGTTCTACCTTGGAAATCTATCCAAATCTGTCCTGAGTCATTGGCGCTTGTGACCACCACCACTGCCATTCTAGAAAAGGTTAACTACAATAGTTCTTAATGGTTCTCCCTGTTTCTACACTTGCCCTCCTGTGGTAGAGTTTTTGCATAGCAGTCAGAATGAGCCATTTGAGAAGGCAAATCAGATCTTGTCACTCCCCTGTCCCCCATACTCCAGTGATTTCCCATCACAGCTAGAATTAAGTTCTAAATGTGGTCCCCATGCCCTACGTTACTGGCGTACTTTCCTGCTGTTTTTCCACTTGCTGACTGGTCTGGCCGTGCTGACTGCTAAGATGACCTCCCCCCCCCGCCCCCCGCAAATCTTGGAGCCTTTAGGTGTGTATCTTTGGCATGGGAAGGCTTTTCACTCACATTCTCAAGGCTCCTTTCTAGATTCAGGTCTTTGCTCCAGTGACCTCAGGCCTTCCATGTCCACTTCTAAAATATTAATAGTACCCTTAGTCACTTTCTACTCACTGGATACTTTTTTTCTTAGTAGTATTTTAAAACTCATCTAGAATTATATGCTTCTGTAAGGGCAGGAACATTTTGGTCATTCTGTTCCCTTGTGAATAGTGTCTGGCATGTTAACATTTTGTTGAATGAATTAGAAAATAATTTGATGACAGATGTTGGACTCAATGGGTGGTGGTGCTGATTACATTGAAATTGGGAGTGTCTTTATTTGGGGAAGGAGTTTCAAGGAGAAGGGAAATAAGTGCGGTATCCGAGAGGAAATGTCAAACAAGCAGTTGAATATGTTTATTTGAAGTTAAGCGATCTGGCCAAAAGACAAGAACGCAAAAGTGTGTATAGGTGGTCCTTGTAGTTTTGTGCTACATGTAGAGGAGTTCGAATGGAAGCTGCAGCGAGAGTAATAAAAGCAGAGCCCCAGGGCTGCTTTTGCGAAGAGCTTCAGCATTTGAAGACCAGATATGGGCCTGAGGGGAGGCCCCAAAGTACAGAGACCGGAATCGTGGGTAGAAAACTACAAAATTCCAGACCGGTCCACAAGGTCAGTACCGCGGGGGTGGAGGTTTAAGTGAGATGAATAAAATAGGTTTGCTGGCTGAGTTTCCTCATCTCGTCGTATTAAAACGGTTACTTAAATAAGGGGATCGGCAGAATTGAGCACAGATCCCTTCAACTGTCGTGTCTTGCATAACCAGCTAATGCTGAAAACCCTGGACTACGAACCGTGTGCTGCACGGGACCTATGCTGAGGGTGCGGACGTCTGTACGCTTATTCTGCCGTTCGTGGCCAGGGTAGCTTAGTTCTGATAAGAGAGGCACCGCAAGCAAAGCCATTTGCACGGCCCTGGTGATTTAGGCCGCGGCCCCGCCTCCCGGCCTTCTGACGTCACCATTCAGCGACAGGAGGCGAGGAAGGTCCCCTCTCGCTCGCGGTCGCCGCGCCGTCAGAGCACTAGCGCACGCGCTGCCTACCAGCGCCTGAGCGGGACGCGCCGCGGAGTGAGGCGAACTCCGGGCGCCAACGGCCAGGCATTCGCTCGAGGCAGCCTGCTGCTCCCTCCTCTTCTTGCTCCGTGCCCCCACGTGCTTCCGCTTCGCCACGGCTGGGATCTGCCGGGCTCGGGCGCAGGTAGCGAACGCGGGAGGGCTGGGGATGGATACCGAGGTTGGCGTTCGTGTCCTTCTTGGGGCGGGAGGGGACCGGCCCGAGAACGAAGGTTCTGCAACCAGACTGATAACCAGCCCACGCCAACTGCCCCGCACCCTCCACTGGGGCGCTCCTAGATGACAGAACCCCCTTTGCTCCGATACGCAGCCGCTCTCGGGGGTTGAGTGTCTCGATCCCTACCTCTGATGATCTCTAGTTGGGGGGAGTCAGGGGTGGTTGGGTGGGTGGCAATACTTGCTTTTGGCGGAGCTTGCCCACGGTTCCCGGTTGCAGCACTTGGTTTTGAATTGAGGCATTCTAATCCCAGATCCTTCCGCAGTCTTAACTACTTCATTGTGCACATTCCTTTTATACATTTAATCAAGAGTCACATTCAGGACTTTGTTTGCCAGTGTACCTAGAGTGGTGTCTGGCACATAGAGGTTATGTGTAGATAAACGAATGGATGAATGAAAATAATCATTTTTCTCCTCTTCAAGGCCCTCCGCATCCATTGGGCCTTCCATGACAACTTCAACCCACAGTAACCTCAGCCCTTCATCAGACTCCTTACTAGAGCTATTATTTTTACTTCTAATTTTATCTTTGTGTAGTTGTCTCTTATCTCTTTCCTTTAAATACCTTCTAAAAGGAAAATGAAAGCTTGAACTCAAGGGCTTCATCCGGTACCTCTTCTGGGGCTCCCAGAGTAACTAGAGCAAAAGACAGTCCCCGGTAATTAGTTGTTGATTGGTTTTTGTGGGGTCTTTATGTGGCGTGCAACACAGGGCTTATAAGCTGGGCAGGTTGGTGAACTGGAAGTAGCTCAGCTTTGGATGCAGGCAGATTTCGATGTGAATCTTATCTCTGTCACTTTTTTGCCTTGGGATTCTTGTATTCTTTATACTTATTCCTTTACTTATAAATAGGGGTCCTTGGTAGTGACATAATGTTTTATAGTAAGACATGCTAACATCTATGTTTGTTTTGGGAGGTTAGAAGGGAGAGTTAGGTAAGGTTCAGTTAATGAGCTTTATGTTTAGAATGCAGCAGGCACTGGAGTTTCTAAGTAACATGTCAGTGACATGTCATTTTTATGTTTACATTGTAGTAATATAATTGATATTTCTGATGTTTCTTTGGTGTATTTATTATGGTAATGATACAATATTTTATCATAGGTAATCACATAATAACTTTTGATGTCTGTGTAAAGGCTTTAGTATGGTTTTCTCTAACTTGAGGAAATGATTGGACACATTTCATCATGGAAATATTCATTGATTTCTTTTCCCTGACTATTAGTATAACACGTGAGAATTAAAAACAAACAAATCAAAAAACCCTCCAAAAGAACAAAACAAAAGTCTATCTCACCATCCAGAAATAGCTAGTTTACATTTTGGTATTTTCTTCCGGTGTTTTTTTTCTTCTGTATGTTATGTATGTGCATAAAAAATGGTATTATACTTTATATCCTGCCATAAGATCCTCTCATAAGTATCTGTATCCCTATCCTTAGATAGTTTTAAAAAATGTTTTGGATATATGGATAGACCATTATATTTTTTAGTCATTCTTCTATTTTTTTGAACATTCAGGTTTCTAATTTTTAAAAATATCTGTGCTAGAGGTGTGAATTACAGCTTCCCATGTTGAGGGAACATTTTTTTCCCCTCCCAAGCCTAAGTTTCCTAAATCTAAAACTGAGGAGCTGCTTGAGGGTTAAGTAAGGATATATATAAGTGTGCTCAGCACAGCCCCTGCTCCCACAGAGGCAGCCAGCTAATGCTCCCTTGCCAGAATCTGGCATCCACATCCTGTTGTATTTCTTTCTCTTTCAGCGATAATCTTTCACCATGCATCGGAAGAAGGTGGATAACCGCATCCGGATTCTCATTGAGAATGGGGTAGCTGAGCGGCAAAGATCTCTCTTTGTTGTAGTCGGGGATCGAGGAAAAGATCAGGTATGACCTGGTAAATGCTTCCTGTGTTACTTTTTGCCCTCCTGTCCCAAAGAGTCAGGATGTTACAGGCCCTCTGGAGTTTCAGCACATAATGACATTAAGATCTCTTTAGCTGGTAAGATGCCTAGTGGGAACCTTTCTTCATTTTCTGGAAGTGGTAAATTCTCTGTATTTAGATTTATTAGGAGACAAGGTAATACCTTTTAAAGCCTTGGGTGGCGGATTGACTGCAAGGTTAAGTGTACATTACCTGGCTTCTAGTCCCAACCTGGTCACCACTTGCCTTGTGACCTTGGACACTTCCCTTCCTCGGCCCTCAGTTTACTTTCCACGTGTGTCAAATGAGGCCTTAGGCCTGGCAATCTGTAAGGTCTCTCTTGCCCCTGAGATTCTTTGACTTTTTTCTTTGGCAGGTGGTAATACTCCATCACATGTTATCCAAAGCAACTGTGAAGGCTCGGCCTTCAGTGCTGTGGTGTTACAAGAAAGAACTGGGATTTAGCAGGTAAGCACGGCCCTTTGTGTTCCATCCGACTTATAATTCCTGCTTGTTAGTTAAATGCTAGGGAATGATTCCTTGACATAGTTTTTCAGAGATCTTTAGTGGAGGCACTATCTGTGAGGACATTTCTAAATGGAGGGGAAAAAAAGGAGCTGATATCCTTTCTTCATTCCTGACAATAAGTTTCAAATCATTTTCATGCCTTTTAAGTCCCTAGTGCAATGCCTTGCTCTCTGCACATGGTTTTCCTTCCTACTTTTCTGAGCTGATTGAGCCCATAGAATGCAAGTTCCTTCAATTCGCCTTTTCCTGCCTCAAATTTATTTCATCCTTTCACAGAAGGAGATGTGCCTCATCCCATGTCCAGGGAAAACTTCTTTACGTACACTGGATCTCACCTCTTTTAGGACCTTTATCGTCTTTCCTCTGCCGGCCACTCCATACCATTTGGAAACTTTCTCCTTTTTTCTGTAAACATGCTCAGCTTTTCCTATTCTCAAAAAATGATTAGCTACATACCCAGCTTTATCTCTTAGCCTAGCATTTTCTCTCGTTTTCATTGCCACACACCCTAAACCAGAAGGCTTCCTAGCCATCCCCCTTGTTCTCTGGCTTCTGCTTCTGTCGTTTTGACCAAATTGTGCTCTTAGATGCCCCCAGTGTCTTGCTGCAGCAAGCTTCCTCTCTATTTCTACTTCCTTTCAGAGCTCTTCTTCCACAAGTTCACTGCTGTGTTTGACAGTTGGCTGGTCTCTTATTTTTTGAAGCTGTGATAGTCAAGACTTCTAGTTGTAAATAGCAGACCTCCAACACAAACACATCTAAGCACAAAGGGTTTTCATTGAAGTATATGAGCTAATTCATGGAACCTAAGCGGGTGAGATTTCAGCTCTGCTCAGGAGTGAAAAAAGCCAGACTGCTAATGTTCCCAGCTCAGTCTCTCATCTCTGCGTATCTGCTGTCAGCTTTCGTATTGCAGACCAGCTTTCTGTTTTCTGTTGTTCCCCTGGCAGAAACAACACTTGAATTTTTACCTGTTTCAGGTCCAACCATTTGAAAATCAGGCTTTCTCCCAAAATTCTTGTGCAAAGATGCCCACCGCTAGGCAAGGGGGGAGGTAGGGCCAGTCACATCGTAGAAACCTGGCAGTTTTTCCTACAACCTTGCATTTGGAGGAGTTTGGTGTGGGGTGGGAGTACTGTTCCTTGGCATGTAACCTGCTATGTGGTCGCCTCAGAAGTATTCTCCTTTCTTGGGCTCAGTGTCTTTACTCAATCCCCCTTCCTGAGCGCTTCTCTTTCTTTTGATCTTTTCTCTTTTCCAGCATGTGTGATTCTGTCCTTGGGTCTCTTCTCTCTCCTTTATTGCTAGATGTGCTCATCTCTGATGTTGGCTCTTCAGTCCCGTCTGCAGCTCTGCCTGCTCTGTGCTGTGGCTGCCCTCCCTATTTCCCTTTGCTCATGCTACATCCCCTGATTGGAATGCCACGTCCACCTCTCTGACATCACCTATGAAATCTTCCCCGTTTTTCAGGGCGTGCCTCCTTTGTGATGCTTTTCCAGAGTCCTTCAGTCATACCTGACGGCTCCTCTGTCTTCTTCAGCACTTGTTCTCCTTCTATCATGCGTGTGTCACCAGCTGCTTTTGCCGTGGGCTATAGTCACTTATATACTGTAACTTACATATATCTTTTTCTTTTTTTTAAACTTGCAGGTGATAAGCTCAGTTAGGGGTTCTCTCCTACTTATCTTTATATTTTCATATTCTAACGATGTAGCTTGTTTATAGTAGGTACTTGGTTAATATTTATTGAGAGTTGGATGCATTGTTAACAGGCTCTGGAATTTTAAGAGTTTAAGAGTTTTAAGAGTTTAACCGAAGGCTAAACTTACTAGTCCATATCCTGTGGTCTTAAAGAAACTTGATTCTGCTAAAGGAAACCAGATTTTGAGTAAATAATTTGGCCTTTTAAAAAAAGTTATAAAAGCCTTATTGCGGGAAATTTGAAAAATGCAGAAAACATAAAGATGAAAACAAAAAGCACCCATAATCTTACTACCTAGGCATTGTAGCATTTAGGTATCTGTCACTGGGTGTAGTTTTGCACATCATTGGTATTTTGTTGTATATACTCTTTCATAATTAGAGAGGTAAGCATTTTTAGTATAGATTGAGACTAAATCCTATTGCCTGTCCCAGAATTTTAAGTTTTTGGGACTTCTGATTCTCAATATTTTTCATTTGGCAAATGCAAGATAGATGTGGAATTAGGCAGTTCACAGTTTTCTGGGAAGATTTGCCTTTTGAATTTAAACCCACTTGGTTTCACTTTTAAAAATCTGTTCTTGTGCTTCTTGTAGCTGTCCCACCCCACCCCCATCTCAATCTGGCAGTGTCATGTTCAAGCTGATGCTTGCTTGTAAGTCATGGGCTAAGGCCTGAGCCAGAAGGGACAGTGGAGATAAAATCACCTACTGCCTTGGTTCACAGATTAGGAAATGGAGGCCCACAGGGGAAGGGGCTTTTGTCTTAACTATTAAGTTAGAGAACTGTGGTAAAATTTTGATGAACTGTAATCCTCCATTCTGGAATATTCTTATTCTCTCTTTCTGTAAAGGAAAGGTAAATGGCAGTTGGATATTCAGGGTTTTTAAGACCAAAAAAAGCTGAGGGATTTCTGGTATTTCCAGATTCCATTCCTGTCCTTGTATCCTGTATCATATTGTCTTATATAAGAGATGCCTTTGAGGACGTGATCCCACACTGGGGAAGGAAGCGCTGAATTCATCTAGGAAACATGAGTAAAGTAACTGGCCATCACCTTGCCTTTCCCAGGCCCCCAGGGGAGCTGCAAGGTGTATGTGAAACACTGGCTTAAGCCTAAGGTAATGAGACCACCTAAGTTTGGTTTCAAGCTCTGGCTTTGGCCAAATGTGAGGTTTAGCTACTCCTATTACCCATCTTTTAAAGCAAAGTATCTGCTCAAGGTCACATAGCAAAATAGCAGGGTTCACACGTAGACTTATCACTCTCACCCCAAGCCCTTCTTCTGAACCTCTCCACTGCCCTTCACCTTTAAAGTGAGGGAATTGGCCCCACACTGTCCAAGTTCCCTGCTAGCTCTGAAGGTCTAAGTAGGTGGTCACTGAGCCTATCTCCTGCAACCAGCTCTTTAGTCTCTCTGATTAACTGGCTCTCATGGGATGGGGGTAATTACAGCCACCGGAAGAAAAGAATGCGACAGCTACAGAAGAAAATAAAGAATGGGACATTGAACATAAAGCAAGATGACCCCTTCGAACTTTTCATAGCAGCCACAAACATTCGCTACTGCTACTACAATGAGACCCACAAGATCCTGGGCAATACCTTTGGCATGTGTGTCCTGCAGGTGGGTGGCTTCCTCTAGCCTGTGACTGAAGTCAAAAGAGCCTTATTCTCCACCAAAACAGGTGTACAGAAAGGGGAGAAGAGTCACATGTTCCCTGTTGGCCAAGCTTATTATTCCTTTGGAAAAGGAAACTTGGTCACCTACCCCAAATAAAAAGAGAATTTCTGTTTGAATTAACATTTGTTCAGAGATACCAGAACTGACAGTTATGCTCCTTTACAACTGGTTCTAACCAGCTGAAGCTGATAAGACAAGCACCAGGAACTTTGAGTGACCCTAGGACTCCAGCTCCCTTTGGCACTCACTGAAGACTTTGCTGACCAGTGAGCACTGGGACTTGTTTTAACCAACTGGTTACAGACCCGTGCGCTCATATGTCCTATCTAGCGTGCTCAAGTAGCATAACCACTTCCCCTGTCAGAACTAGTTGGTGAATTTCTTCACTGGTATGTATTCTCTTGAAGTTAATAGACTGTTCCACTTTTTTTTTTTTCCCCCTTTGGTGATTGTTCTGGTGGTATTTGTTTTATTCTTTGGTTCTTTGACTCCTGTGCCTCCAAGCTACCCTTCCAAAAAAAAAAGACAAAAAAAGTTTAAGCACATATCCCCACATTTTTGTGTGTGATATATACATGTACTACTATACCCATTATTACAAACCTCGCAAAATACAAATTAAGACATGGGGGGAAATCAAAAATAGAAGTTCTGTTTTTTTTCTTTCTGCATTCTAATGGGTTGTCTCCTGCACTGCTGGCGTGCATCTCACTTTGGGGGATGCACGCCAGAAAAGAGCATGTTGCCTCATTTTCACCCCTGCTCTACAGGGGAATCCCCTGGCCTGATCACTGGCAGGGTGGTGGTCTGCTTGCTGCTTTTGGTAAAGTTGCTGGAATGATGGCTCCTGTATGCAGTAGCTCCCCCACGTGGTACAGTTGCGTTTTATCAAATAGGTTCAATCAATAAATGTCAGAAAATGAATGTAAGATGTTTCTGAAATTCACATATGAACCAATGAAGGTTGGAAAATTTGTTTCCAAACAGGATTTTATCAGAGATTATTAGAGACATTTTTGAGTTATAAAACCAGGCATACCTATACTCAAGGGCTGGGCTCTCTGCTGTGGTGCCCCTAAGAAAGGGGCTGTGTGTGTCCTGGTGAGTCAGGGGTGGGAGGTATGGGCTTGGCTTTGTGCTTTGAGGCCCCCTTTTTGCTTTATCACCTGGCCCCGGGTTAAGAATTCCTTGGGGTGTTGTATGCATGACCAGCCCTTTCTAAGGTTTCCTTCTTCCAGGATTTTGAAGCCTTAACTCCAAACTTGCTGGCCAGGACTGTAGAAACAGTGGAAGGCGGTGGGCTGGTGGTTATCCTCCTGCGAACCATGAACTCACTCAAGCAGTTGTACACAGTGACCATGGTAAGCATCTGTTTCTTAATTGTGGGGGTTCAAATCAAGCTGTTTTTGCTGTAGTCCACTTTTTTTAGAGAATTCCTGTTGAGCAGCTCTGGTGAATGGTCAGCACAGCCTCTGGACTGGGAGCTCTTTGACTGCAACTAATGAAAAAGTCATTGCAGATAAATCTCTGGGGCCCTGAGTGTGCCTCGGCATCTCTGAATTTCACCTTTGCTTTCAGGTGTTTGCCAGTCCTATACCAGTGAGATTCAGATATGATGCAGCTGTTAATGTAGTTAAATTTTCTGGCATGGTATTCTGCAGAGAGCAATGCCAGTGCCTCAATTTGTGTATTGCAAGAAAAGGACCCTGTGGAGACCCCTCACCGGCCCTCATCCTAATGGATGATAAAGGAACATTTGCCACTTCCACCCCCAGTTTGGCAAGAATTTGGTCTCTGGGAGAGGTAGTTTTCTCCTAAAGCAAAAGACATTTTGGCTGAGGACATGGTTAGGAGTGGGGATATGTCTCACCTGGCGCAGAGCTGGTCTCCTGGCTCCATCAGTATTGCTGTGTGGTGTTCAGAGAGGCGGGTTTTCCGTGGTGCCTGCAGCAGCAGCTCAGGAGTGGTGGTAGGATTGGTCTCAGGGTTTCGTGAACTGTGTTCATCTGGGGAAATGAACTTTCCTTAAATCTTAGGGACCGCTTGCTGTCACTACCAGTCCTATCATCACTTGCCACTGAAGGTCCTCAGATATTCCCAGAACACTGTTACCCCCGGGCCTTTGCACTTCCTCCCTACTGGAATGTGCTTCCACTGGACGTCTGCCTGGCTTGCCTCCTTACTGCGTTCAAGTCCCCGCTCAAATATCACCTCGTCGGTGTGGTCTTTCCTCACACCCTGTTCAGCGGCTTGGCCCGTCACTCCTTAACCTGCCTCATTTTTCTTCAGAGCACTTGACAGTTACCTAGAGTTATGTATTTGTTTTTTTGTCTGTCCTCCTGTGCTGGTCTGTAAACTGCACCGGGAGCAGGGAGTGCTCCCTTGCTGGTGCATTCGCAGATCCTAGAAGAGTGCCTGGCGTTTAGTAAGTGCTCGTTAGGTGTTTGTGAGTGAATGACTGACTTTGTGCTCACTTCAGTGTATTTGTTCCTCCTCTTCCTGGCTGCCTGCTTATCCTCCAGGTCGCAGCCTGTCATCTCAGGGAGGCCCTCCCTCATTACCCTGTATAAGCAGGCTTGCTCCCCACCGCCCTTTGCTGTGGCTGCACTCTGTGTTTCATCTGTAGCATTTGCACAATTTGTATTTATTCAGTCATCTGTGTTCTCTGTCTTCCTCTGACCATTAGACTATAAGCTCTGTGACAACAGAGGTCACTGTGCTTTGTTCACCAGTGTATACCCAGCACGTCTGGCATACAGTTAGCACATAAGTTTTATGGAATGAATGAGTGCATCATAGGATGCTGAGTAAAATATGGAAAAAGTCAAAGGTTATAGTAAGAGACATTGCCTTTAGTGTCCGATCCTAGTTCCAGCGAATACCATTTGCCAGTTCAGCACAGCACATCATTGTGTAGAAGTGGCTTTTGTTTCCAGTAGGATCGCTGATGTCTCCTTTGATAGAGGAGACATCTCCTTTGATAGATGTCTCCTTTGAGCCCTGGGCTCAGCACTGTTGGATGACTTTGTTAATGGTTGTTGTCTCTTTTAGGATGTGCATTCCAGGTACAGGACCGAGGCCCATCAGGATGTGGTGGGAAGATTTAATGAGAGGTAGGACAACGGTCCCTCACAGTTGTGGGGGACTTTATCTTTATCTCGGATCCAACTGAAAGCTTTGGTTTTTTGTCAGGGAAAGCAGTACAAGATTCCAAAATGGTGTGAGATTCTTGGCAGCAGCAGTAGCTGTGACACTAACTGGCAGCAGTGAGAGATAGTGGAAAGCTGGGGCCAGGAGACCTGGATTCTGTCTTGCTGCTGGCCTGACACTAGCTCAGTGGCATTAAACCAAGCCACTCCGTCTCTCTGGCTCTTAGCTTACTCATCTTTCAGAGGGGTGATTTGTCTTGATCACTTTTTCCCAGAAGGTATTTCACAGAACACTGGTCTTTTAAGAGGGACCTTATGACAAGAGGGTTTTCTGGCCAAATATGTCTGGGAAATGCTGACGCTGTTTTCCTTTATGAAGATTCACATTGGCCTATTGTAGCCTCCGAAAAGTCTTGCAGCAGCTGGAACCTGTTTAACTGATTGTTTTCCAAATTTATTTTACTGCAGAGCCCTTTTTAAAGGAACACCAGTTAGCAGCCTGAGAAGTACTTTAAGAAACTTTGGCCTAGACCAGTGGTTCTCATCTGGAGCAGTTGAGAATCTCATTTGGCCCCCCAGGGACATTTGCCAATGTCTGGAGACAGTTTGATTGACAGTCATGACTTCGGGAGTGGTGGAGGAGGGTGCTGTGGGCATCTAGTGGGCAGAAGCCAGGGCTGCTGCCAAACAACCCACAGGCACAGGGCAGCCCCCTCAACAAAGAATTATCTGGTCCAAAATGTCAGTAGTGCTGAGGCTGAGAGATCCTGGCCTTGATGGAACTGTGGGGGCCGTTCTCTTTCTAATAATCCGTGATGCTTTAACTCAGTAGAATGAGCAGAGCAGGGGGAGCAGCTGTGTGCTACTGACTAGCACAGAAGCCTGTGAAAGTATCAGGTGAAGCCCTTTTATTGCAGTATGGGAGGATGTTTGAATTTTATAGGCAAACATGTTCTACGTGCAAGAATGTTTTTGTTATATTTCTTCAGGGAACTTTCCTCTCCCCTTCTTCCTTTTATGTATTACTTTGTCCTTGTGACAGAAGGTAAATCCATTTTGTGTGTTTGTTTTCCTGTGTGACTAGTGATCATATGTGGGTTGGGTTTGGAATTCCCCCTTTAAGGATGGCCTGAGCCACTTTAGTGCTAAAGAGTGAGTCTAGGAGGATGAGGAAAGGACCAAATTATGTAGGGAACCGGGGCGGTTGTGCGCAGCAGAAATGCTTACAGTCAGTCTCTTGGGAGGAGTTCTCGGGTTTTCTTATTTGCTGTATAAAACATGTTCAGGTGCCTTGTAGAGGAGGCTCTGAATCATCTCACATTGCTCTCCAGCTGGGTTTTGGCTTTCTCTGACTTTCTTAGAGGCACATGGGGCCAAATGATTTTCCTAAAGAAAAGCTACACTCTTGCATAGACATTGCCTGCTCTCCCTAGCACTTCATCTTAGTGGTTTTGTTTCTCAGGTTTATTCTCTCTCTGGCCTCTTGCAAGAAGTGTCTCGTCATCGATGACCAGCTCAACATCCTGCCCATCTCCTCCCACGTGGCCAACATCGAGGCTCTACCTCCACAGGCTCCGGTGAGTCTGTGTCAGGGTCTCTGGGACTCTGGGGGAGGCTGTGTTTCCTGTGTCGATCCTCCTTTCGCAGTGGCAAACCTTCTCCTCTTCTCTCTGGTAGGATGAGAGTCTCGGTCCTTCTGATCTGGAGCTGAAGGAGTTGAAGGAGAACTTGCAGGACACCCAGCCTGTGGGTGTGTTGGTAGACTGCTGCAAGACCCTAGACCAGGTGAGCGTGGTGTTTAGAACCTCTCCACCCCCGTGTAAACAACACAGAGGTAAAATACAGCGCGTGGAGAGCAGCAGAAGCCAAGTTAAGACAAGTCGAGACCTGGAGCCTCCCTAGGGAAGGGGGCCCTTTCTCTTGCTCATGCTCATGCATGTGCAGCAACAGCAGGGCTATTCCCTGTTGTCTGAGTTCACAAAAGAAGTCTAGGGATTACCTTCCCCTGCGCCCGAAGTTAATAGTTCAGAGAGCTGGGGGTCAGGGGGCAGATGGACTACATTTAAAGAGGAATCCTCTCAGTGCTTTTTCTGAGAGAGGGTGATATGCCTGTATTTAATTTCAGTTAAGTTTTGATGATATAAAGTTTTTGCCCATGGCTTGTACAGAGTGAGAGGAGAGCTTGAGGCCCCTAGTATTTACCGTGGTTCCAGTGTCAGGCCTGATGAGGGCCCCCCAGGGTGACATCTACCTGGTCTTTGGGTACAAACAGCAGGCTGGGTGGGAGCTGCCAGGATGCATTTCTTCACTCAACAAGGTAGCCAGTGCTGGTAAACTCAGCTTCTCTGCTGCTTCCTGGATCATGATGGGAGCTATCAGGTGTGTTCAGGGTTCCGGTCGAGCCTGAGCCTGGTGAGCAGCACAGGTCTCTTGGCACTGGGCTCCACCCTCCTGAAGGGAAACAGATGCAGTGACACCTCCCACTTGAGCTGAGTCCCAGCAGGCTGGCTCCCCTTTTCATTCTGGAAATACAATCACCAGCTGCAGAGCTCTCTGTGCAGCCCAGGCTGTAGGCTGTGGGATGCTTTGGACCACTTCCTGGTATCCTCTTTATCACCAGGAAGAGGGAGTGAGAGACAGGATGAAGAGGGAGAAACTACATTGCTAGTAGTAGTGTTATTTAAAGGAAAAAAAAGAGAGAGAAAAAAAAGCAAATTAAGTACAAAAGAATATGCATTAGAAAAATAGTGGTGTTTACGCTTGGCATTGCCACTCTGCAGAGGCAACTACTGTTAACAGTTTATTATGTATCCTTCTGGGTCTTTTTCTGTGCATATAAAGGGGTACTTTTAAAAAAATGTGAAGGGGTCTCACTGTATAAAGTGTTAAGTGGTTCCCTGTTAGACATTTGGGTTGATTCCAGCATTTTTGCTATTATAAACAATGCTGTTAGGACATTCTTACAGGTAGGTCTGTGGAAACTAAATTTAGGATATATTTCCAGAAGAAGAATTGCTGGACCAGAGATTATATGCATTGAAATGAGCATTGCACCAGGTGATGAAACTATCCACGGTGTATGAAAATGCCTTTTTCCTGTAGCCTTGCCAACAGTGGGTACTTTTAAACTTGTAAGTCTTGGCCGGGCGCAGTGGCTCATGCCTGTAATCCTAGCACTTTGAGAGGCTGAGGTAGGAGGATTGCTTGAGCCTGGGAATTTGAGGTTGCTGTGAGCTAGGCTGATGCCACGGCACTCTAGCCTGGGCAACAGAGCGAGACCCTGTCTCAAAAAAAAAAATATAGTGTTCAGCAAAGGCCAAGTTAAGACAAATAAGACCTGGATCCCCTTTGATTTTCCATCTGGAGAGGCTTTGACTTCCTGAAGCCTCCTTCCCCTTCCACCTGCCCGGGCCTGCTTAGTGTCTGTCGTTGCCTAGGCGAGTGAGACAGTTTCCCATCTGGCCTTCCCAGCCTCAGGTCCCAGCACAGATCCCAGCTGGGGAGCAAAGTTCGGCCCTGAGCAGTGTGCAGCTTCTCTCCTCTGGTGCCACTGGCATCTCGCTTTCCCTCTTACGCTCTCCTGGGCACTGGGGCTTGGCAGTAGACAGTGGGACACACCTGCTTCACAGAGTTTACCTTCTAGTGGGATGAAACAGCGATAAAGGATGTGGGCAGACCCGGCTGTGACGGAGAAGGGCTTTGTACAATGAAGAAAAAAAGAGCAGAGGGGGCTAGGGTGTTCCAGGCTGAGGGTGGGTGCTGCGGTTCTAGACACAGTGGTCAGGGACGGCCTCATTTGGAAGGTGATGTTTGAGTGACGCCGTGGAGGAGTTGAGATGAGCCTGGTGGCCCTCTGGGCAAATGCTTCAGGCAGAGGGATCAGCAAGTCCATAGGTCTGAAGTAGTAGTTTGTCTCAGGGGCTCCGGGACTAGGGCAGAGGCCGGTGGGCTGAAGCAGAGCCGGGAGAGCGCAGGAGGAGTTAAGAGGACCATACAGGCCACCGGGAGGGCTTTGGCACTTACTCTGTGAGAGACGGGGTGGTGGAGGGTTTTATGCCTACAGTCGCTTCCAGAAGGATCCCCAGCCTTATTTTTAAGAGGATCCCTCTGGCTGCTGTATTGAATATAGACTTGGTGGAATGAGGATGGAAGCAGGACGCCTGCCGAGGAAGCTGCTGTGATGAGGCAGGCAGGAGAGGATGGTGGCTTTGAGCAGAGTGATGGAGGGTGATGGTGAGGAATGATAGGGCTTGTGTGTGTTTTGAAGATGACAGGATTTGCTGACTAATCGGGTACAGGGGAGGAAATTGAGGCTTTTGGCTTGAGCAACTGGATAGTTAACTGAGATGGGGAAGATGGTAGGTGGGGGAGGTTTGGGAGAACACAAAGTGTTCAGTTTTGAGTTCGAAATGTCTGGTGTGCAAGTGGAGATGTACAGGAAGCAGTTGCATGTGTATGAAAGTCTTGTGTGCAGGGAAGTGGCCTGGACTGGAGCTGTAAATTTGGGAGTCACCAGCATCTGATTGGTATTTAAGGCCAATCAGATGCTGATTGGGGCGGAGATGAGATGACCAGGTTTCAGGTGTGCTGAGCAGTGCCTTCTGGTTTGTGAGAACTGCCCCCTTTTTATTCAGCCTTGGCGCCAACCTAACTTCTCCACAGTGACCGTGGTAAATGGCCGAAACGTGGGCCTTTCCCGAAGCTCACCTATTATGTTTGTCTTTCCACAGGCCAAAGCTGTCTTGAAATTTATCGAGGGGGTCTCAGAAAAGACGCTGAGAAGTACCGTTGCACTCACAGCTGCCCGAGGACGGGGAAAATCTGCAGCCCTGGGTTTGGCTATTGCTGGGGCGGTAGCATTTGGGTAAGGGGATCCTATTCCCGATCTTTAGGAGCTCTGGGCTCTTAAGGGGCAATGTGCAGGGTGAGGGGTCAGGAGACGGGAGAACTGTATCTCAGGTTCCTAGTTCTGAGTGGGGTCACTGCGTGATTTCTCCAGGTCCTGGGTTCCTGCCAGGAAACAGCAAGACTGTTTCTCCCAACCCGCCCTAGCCAGAGGTGCAGGTATATGTGTGTGTACACACAGGCACGTGGGCACCAGGGCCTCTGTAATCTTTACAGTTGAACAGACATGTAAAAGCAAAGAAATGGGAGTAAGAAACTTTAAAAATCTCAGGGAATGAGAATGCCTATGGCCAGCTTTGCTGACTTGGAAAAGCATAAGTTTGACATTTTAATGATTTTGAGTAATAGATTTTGTTTGCTTCTGAGGAGCTGCTTTTGGGTGTGATGTTACTTTCTGTTCTTTTTTCTTGGGTGTGGAAGATTTATGTAGCTGCCCACAGAATATGTTCACCCATCTTTGCAGCCATAATAATGGACCTAGAATTTACTGTGTTCTCCCACATGTGTTATCTTCCTTAGTGCTCCTTAGAGCTCTGTGGGCATCTTATAGATTGATAGACCCAGGCTCAGGGAGTTTCAGTTATTTACCCAAGATCCCTCAGCAACTCAGTGCTGGTAGAGCCAGGTCTTGAGCTCAGCTCCGGACTCTCAGTCCTTTGTTTTTCCTGCTGCTCAGCCAGACCAGTCAGCCTCTCAGCCATTATCATCCTTGTCACTCAGCAAAGATCCCTTGGAGGTTAGCTATGGCCTCGGGCTCTCCGGTTTCACAGTTTGGAGGCCTCTGCACAGGTAGTGATGAGTGTGAGGCTGTCCTTCCTGTAGCGGGGCACTGGATCGGGGCAGTGTGCGGTTCTGCACGCTGGAGGGGTTGTGCCCACAGCGCCTTTCAACACTTTGCTCTCTCAGTTGTCGGTCGCTAGATGTTGGGACTCGATACCTTCCAGCTGTTAACGTGTTTTCATTAGTTTCGGAAGAAAAGGTTCGGTGTTGCTTCGCTTTTCCTCCTTAAAAGGTGTCCTTTTTTCCCTGCTGTTATTTCTGGTTATCATCTTTGGGACAGTGGCAAACAAAAATCTGTTTTTTAAAAAAATTTTCTTAAAAATCCTCCTTTTCTTTTTCTTTTGTAGGTACTCCAATATCTTTGTTACCTCCCCAAGCCCTGATAACCTCCACACTCTGTTTGAATTTGTGTTTAAAGGGTTTGATGCTCTGCAATATCAGGTAGGAAATTTAGGGTAAGGACTTATTTTGATTCAGTGCTGCGTTTAAATTTAGGTGAAGTCTTTAAAATGCTTGCTTACTTTCTTAATACTTAGTTTCTAAAGTTTGTCTTTGGTTTGACTCTTTTCCCACTAGGAGCATCTGGATTATGAGATTATTCAGTCTCTAAATCCTGAATTTAACAAGGCAGTAATCCGAGTGAATGTATTCCGAGAACACAGGCAGACCATTCAGGTGAGGCTCGTTCTCAGATCCTGCTGTATTTAACTGGCTCTAAGATGTTTCCTGTTATAGGCATTTATGTCCTAAGTAATTGCATATCCTTTAGACAGTATTGTTGTTTCATGATAAACCTGCTCCAGGTTTTCAGCCACTTTGAAAGAAGCATGTTGAAGTAAACTAACAAATGTGTGCAGTCAGATTGAAAAATTGTAGTTGCGACCCTCGAGTATGGAGTAGGTGGGATTGAAAGTATGCTGATTAGGTAAAAGAATCATTGTTCTGACATCAGTTCTAATTTTGCTTAGTTACTGCAGGTTTTAAAATGGTACATCTGTAATTAGAACAATAACCTCACCATTTAAAAGAACAAAAGAACTTTGCAAACTGTGCTCTGAATCTTTGTGGTTTAGCCAGTGGCCTATTTTCCTTTTTAAACAGTGTTTTCCCAAAAGCTCTATAAATCTCTAGTGCTGTGTAAACCTGAATGGTCTGTACTTGTCCAAGGCTGCAGTTTTGCTAAATCTCTGAGAGAGGCATCGGGTGACAGGATTACAGAAGGGGCTGAGACTAACAGGCTCTTAGTGCAGTAGGTTCATCTATTATTTTTGGTGTTGGATTGGGTGGGAAGTGAGCCAGGTGAATTCGGCAGTTTATGCACTTGAACTTCTTGCCTGTCAAAGCATATGAATATGCATGTCAATGAGGTTTACTCTCATCAAAGGGTTCAGGTTATAAACAATGTTACCTCAAGGATCTTGAGTCCTTCTTACTAGGTCTCTTTCTAGAATCTCTTCATCCTATACATTTCTTCCCACTTTTGCCTGATTCGGCAGGAGGAAAGACTGCTGTTGGTATGGGGTGGGGGTGCGGGGCAGGCTGCAGCCTCTGCGAATACAGAGAACTGTTAAAACTCAAGAAAAATACACAAACCAAAGAAGGAAGACATTTCCCTGCATTGTGCTGGCTCAGCCCTTCCTCCTCCTCAGATTTGTAATCAACACCCTGTCTTGTTACTAGAGTCCTTTTGTCTCCAGACTGGAGTTAAGCACAGAGAAGGTGACCTTACTTTATGAGACTCCATTTGTGTTCCTTTGAGGCCTCTTCCTTTGTGCTGGAGATTGAGAAGAAGAATGTTAGATTAAAGTTGGCCAGGCCTCCCCTGGGGGGCTTCTTCTGCTTTTGTGAGATGCTTGTTTAATTTTTCCCTTCAAGTATCCAAGACTTGGGGCCCTATTGAGGACGTGTATTCTGCTGCTAGAAACGAGTGGGGTCACTGCCTCTCTGACCCATCAACTTGTAGCAAAGCAGTCAAAAAATCTTATTTGTAATGAAATACTTCAAATGTGTAGAAAAGTGCAGAGACAAGTATAACAGTCAGGTGCCAAGCACTCAGATTTAAGAACATGTTGACATTTTGCTGTTTGCTATGTTTGTTTCATATTTTAAATGTCATGTATATGTTTGTTTTAAAGAACTAACACATCACAGATACAGTTGAAGTCCCTCTGTACCCCTTCCCACCCCATTCCTTCTGTCACTCCCCATAGGTAATTCTATTCTGAGATTGGTGTGTTTCCTTTCAAGTCATGTGTTTTTATTTTCACTACTAATTATGTATTCCTAAGTGGTAACATACTACGCTTGTCCTCCTTCAGCTTTCCTTTTTAAACATTTTTTTCAAGATTTGTCTAGACTGAAGCTCGTAGATCTAGTTGATTCATTTTTAAGTACTGTATGAGTATACTGTAGTTTACATGTATGTTTCTGGAAGTGGAATCATTGAGTTTTAGGATCTGCGTAGATTTCCAGCTTTCTTAAATTTTGCCAAATTTCTCCTTTAAAGTGGTTGTACCAATTTATCTTCACACCAGGATTCTTCTGAGTTTTTATTTCTCCAGTCCTCACCAACTCTGGGTGTTACACAGCTATTTAAGTTTTGCGAAATGGTATTTCCTTATGTCTTTAGTCTTTCACTGATTACTGCTGAGGTTAAGTATCTTTGTTTATGTTAATCGGCTATTTAGGTTTCCTCTCCTATAATATACTTCTTCATGGCCTTTTCAAACCACTCTAAAAATAGCAGGAAGCCCTCAAGAAACTTGAAGGGGTTGTTGTTATGCATAAGGATATGTAAGTGTGTGTGTAATTAAGAATAAGTTCTAGAAATGTCCCTACCAGTGCAGGGAGACTTGGCCTTTATAACGATGGTATCAGAGCAGAGAGCACAGTACGCAGCATGAGGAATCTGACATCCTCCCCTGTAGCAACCACTGAAGCCGAGCTGTGCCTCTGGCTCACCGGTGTCCCTGAGCTGAGGCTGGGGAGAAACATGGGGAGACGAAGAGAAAAGGGAAAGGAGCCACTGTCTGTCAGTGCTACGAGCTGGGCACTGGGTGGGGTGTTTTTACATAGTTACCTTGTTTTTTCTTCATGCAGCCATAGGTGGATCTTTCCTCCATTTTACAGAAGAGGAGTCTGAGGCTCTGTGGGATTAAGTGACCTGCCCAGGGTCACACAATCAGTCATTGAACCATTTGAACCCAGGTGTCTGACTCCAAGCCCATCTCATTTTTGCCTTGCCAGGAGAAAGGAGAATGGGAGATGGGAAAAGGCAACAGAGAGAGAGGAAAGATGGTGGCCTTTATGATGAGTCACTAGAAATCACGACTGTGGCATTAGTTGGCCACACTAATCTAAATTTTTCTTCCCCACAGTATATACATCCTGCAGATGCTGTGAAACTGGGCCAGGCTGAACTCGTTGTGATTGACGAAGCTGCTGCCATCCCCCTCCCCCTGGTGAAGAGCCTCCTCGGCCCCTACCTTGTTTTCATGGCATCTACCATCAACGGGTAAGGTGCTGTGGGCAGGGGAGTCTTACTCCTCTGTAGGTTCTTGCAGATTAGGTGGCATGTAGTGGGTGTGGCCTGGGCCTGGGAAATGAAGTCTGATTCCCAAAGTCTGAGTTTCGGGGGCTGCTTCCTTCTCTCTTGGGGCTTCTGCAAATGTGAGCCGGCCTCTTAATAAACTGTAACACACCTCTGGCCCTGCTTTAAAGGGACAGCATAAGACTGAAGAATTTTGTAACCCATGTGAAGAGTGTCTCCTTCTGTCTGTAAGCGTGATTGAGTTTTGAAAAGTACATGGTTGGCAATACCAGTGTCTGATGTCTTAGAATTATGTGAAAATATAGTGTTAAAGTAACTATATAATTAGCATAAGAAAGCAGGCTTATAATGGCAAAAGAGTGTTTTTTAAATTTGAAATATTTAGTTCATGCTTGCTATAGAAAAATTAGAAAAAAATGTGTGTAAAAAAAAAAAAAAGAAAAATTAGGAAAAACAGATAAGCAAAGGAAAAATCACCTATAATCCAACCATCTAGAGATAGCTTCTGTTAGGATTTTGGTTTACCTTTTTTGTGCATTTATTTTACTCTTTCATTTTGAACAAGACTATAAACATAGTTTACATACTGTTTTTAATTTGCTTTTTTATATAACAGTATATATTGTGAAGTCTTTTCAGTATATCTTCAATATTGGAAAGCTTTGTATATGGAACTCACGTCTTGAAGAGATAATTTTGTATTGCAGATTTATTGTGACTGTTGTACTTCACACTGAAAATGTTTAAATATAATTGATTTTTACTTTTTAAACAGCTTTGAGATATAATTCACATACCATACTATTACCTGTTTATTAATGTGTGTAATTCAGTGGTTTTTAGTACATTCACAGAGAGTTGTACAACTGTGCTCACCACGGCCAATTTTAGAACATTTCATCACCCCATAAACATTCTATATCATCCTCCAACCCCTCGATAACCCCCAACACTAGGTAGCCACAAATCTATTTTCCATGTCCATAGATTTGCCTATTTGGACATTTCACATGAATGGAATCATACAATATGTGGTCTTTTGTAACTGGCTTCTTTCACCAGAGTGTTTTCAAGGCTCACCTGTGAAGCGTATTTCATTCTTTTTTATGGCTGAATGACATATCCATCATATGGATATACCACATTTTATTTATCCATTCATCTGTTGGTGGACATTTGGGTTATTTCTACCTTTTGGCTGTTATGAATAATGCTGCTGTGAACATTTGTGTACAGGGTTTTGCATGGATGTGTTTTTAGTTCTCTTGAGTATATACCTAGGAGTAGAATTACTGGGTTAATTCGTGTGGTTAGCCCTGTGTTAACCATCCCAGGAGCTGCCAGACTGTTTTCCAAAGCAGCTGCACCATTTTACATTTCCACCAACAGTGTATGAGGGTTCTAATTTTTCTACATCCTCTCACACATTTGTTATTTTTTTTGACTATAGCCATTCTAGTGGGTGTGAAGTGGTATCTCATCATGGTTTTCATTTGTGTTTCCCTGATAACTAATGATGTATTGAGCATCTCCTCATGTGCTTATTGGCCATATTTGTATCTTGTTTGGAAAAATATCTATTCATATCCTTTGTTCATTTTTCTAATTGGGGTATTTGTCTTTTTATTATTGAGTTGTAAAGGTTCTTTATTCTTTATATATTCTGGATACAGGTTCCTTATCACATATATGATTTATAAAAATTTTCTTCAATTCTGTGGAATTTTTTCACTTTCTTGATAATGTCCTTTAAAGCACAAAAGTTTTTAATTTAAGTTTTGTTGCTTGTGTTTACTCTTTTTTTTTTTTCCTTAAGTAAGTGGGATTCCTTTAGGAGAACTTTGTTATATAGGGGGTTGAAGGAGGGGGTGAAACACTCTAAAGTTCTAACTTTTCTATCACTCTATAAAAGTAGTATTTAAGTAAGAAATATTTGGGCAGTCTTTAAATATTATGAGTACTATGAAATGATGTAAAAATAAAAAAGGAAAGCCCTTTGAGCAGTGTGTGCCCTCTGGGCATATGTGCTTGCTTGCGACTAATGACGAGAAGGAAACACTCAAAAATGAAAATAGCTCTGTGATCAGATTGTAGATGATTTAACTTTTTCCAAATTTTGTGTAAGCTATTTTACCTAACCTTTTAAGTGAAAGTAATAATGAAGAGAATTGCTGGGGTGGTAGATTTGTTTTATCTTGATTTTCCAAGCTGGAAATGTTCTTGGTTCATTTCTTCATACTTGCTTCTAAAATAGCAGCTCCCATTAGTTGACCATTTAACTTTGTTTTAATTTCACTGTGCTAAAAGCTTTATTTACATCATTTTTTTTAGTCCTTATTTTTTTAATTCATATCACAGACCTGTGAGGTGTGTAGAATAATCCCCTTTTGTGGATGAGGCTAAAAGAGATCAAGTTCCTTACCTAAAGGTACTAAGTAGATGAGCCAGGACTTGAGCCCAGGTCTGAATGGCTCGGAGCTGCCCTGCCACCTTTGGACACGTGCATGCTGCACTGAAAGTTGAGAGATGAGCAAGGTTCTCCTTGGGAAGCAGGAGTCTGGTGTTCCAGCAGGTTGAGGAAAGTAGTTCTCTGTCCTGTCTTAGAGAGTGGATTTGGACCTTGTACCTGATTCCCATTGCCTTTGCTCGTAGCTACGAGGGCACTGGCCGGTCACTGTCGCTCAAGCTAATTCAGCAGCTCCGTCAACAGAGTGCCCAGAGCCAGGTCAGCACCACCGCTGAGAACAAGACCACGACAACAGCCAGACTGGCATCAGGTACCCCAGCACCTGAACCGGGCCCCGCAGGTCACAGCAAGTCCTTTCAGACTTTCTTGCTGGATCCTTGCTTCCCCTGCGACATCAAGGACCAAATCTTCCTACCATCAGGCTGAAAAGTTGAGTTTCCAAGAGAAGTAGCTTTTCTCCAAGGAACAGCAATCCAATGACCAGATAGGAGCCTGACTTGGGCCTTCTGGTGGCTGGGCCCTTCTTTATGCCTGTCTGGGGGCATGGTTGCGTTGACTTAGTGGGATCCCTTTGGGGTTGGTGTCATGGCAGGTTGACTATCCACCAAAACAATTTAAAACCACCCAGTTTAAGTTCTTGAGCTATGTGTATTTGGGCATCATGTGACAAATATAAAGGGGAACATTTTTCCTTGCTCTTTGAGGCAATACGTATTCAATAATTGTTTCTTAATTGTGTGATTTGTGGAAACAGCACGAACGTTGCATGAGGTTTCCCTCCAGGAGTCGATCCGATATGCCCCTGGGGACGCGGTCGAGAAGTGGCTGAACGACTTGCTGTGCCTGGATTGCCTCAACATTACTCGGATAGTCTCAGGCTGCCCCTTGCCCGAAGCCTGCGAGCTGTATCCTCCTCTGGGTCTCATTGGCCCTGTGAAAGGGAGAGTGGGTGCTGAAAGAATTAGAAGGATTTCGGCCCTTTGTTTCATAGGACGCTGCTCTAGGAAAGGGAAAAGTTGAACATTCTGCATTTGCTTTTTCTCTTCTTCCTTCACTGATGTGTTTCTGCCTGGGACCCTGGGCTCCTCTTCCCAAGCCAGGGAAATTGACACTACTTCCAGGGAGTGGTATGTCCTGCTTTGGGCTTTCTTTGGTTTGTTTTGGTTGCTTAACTCCAGACCCAGCTACTATGTTAACAGAGATACCCTCTTTTGCTACCACAAGGCCTCCGAAGTTTTCCTCCAACGGCTTATGGCCCTCTACGTGGCTTCGCACTACAAGGTAACTGCAGTAGCCCTTGGGTGAACTTCAGCAGGGAGCTTCTGCACTTGGCAGTCCCATGGACTTGGCTTTTTACATATTTTATTACTCAGTGCCTTGGGTGACTATTCCATTGAGACTTAAATGTCCTGATATTAATGAGGTCCAGTGACCTTGCTTTGCACAGAGTAAGGAATTCTAGCATGCAGCTCCGTGGCATGGCTGGAGAGGATGGAAAGCTCTGCCCATTTTTAAAAGGGTACTTGAATCTCTTGCCTGCCTGCTACGCACTGATAGGCTGAGGTGACATCACAGTTTGTAACCCAGTGGTACTGTTTGACCTGAGACCAGCTTTGTATCTCTGGCTATTTTTAAGGAGCAGTGAATTTGAGGGCTTAGAATATCTGAGACTCTTAAAAAACTAAAGGGCAGTTGGAAGGGACACTTTTTGAGTGGTCTGGGCAGCATTTTTATGAACAGCCTTTAATGGAATGCTGAAGAGTTGGTGTTAGAAGTGGTGACAGCTTTTCCTGAAATAGCAGCCTCTTATCTGGAGGAAGTTCACTTCCCAGCTGTGAAACAAGTAGTGCCAAATAAGTTCTCTGCTGCTCTCCAGCCTCAGCGCTCAGGGGGAGAGGACAGTAGACATTTGAGGCTAAGTCCCACTTAAGCCGTTATGAAGAGTCTTGGGCTCGCCGAAATACTGGAAAGGCGCTTTGCTGGGTGGCAGCTCCTCACTTGGTTTTGGAGAAGGCAGTACTCCAGTCATCTGATGATTCTGAATCGAGCCTCCTGAGCGAGTAAGGGACGAGAGGAGGGATGCTTCTCACCGGCCCTGTCTGTGCCCCCACAGAACTCTCCCAACGATCTCCAGATGCTCTCCGACGCTCCCGCCCACCATCTCTTCTGCCTTCTGCCTCCCGTGCCCCCCACCCAGAATGCCCTTCCTGAGGTGCTTGCTGTCATCCAGGTACACAAGCAGAGGCATCCTTGTGGCATTGCTTTGGGGAACCCCTTAGGCATCAGGGCTTCATGGCTCAGTAACTGCAATGAGGGAGGCAAGTGGCTGGGTCTGTTGAGGCAGGTGATGAGGGCGCACGGGAGGAGCCGCCACCGCCAGCAACTCAGAGCCCTACTGTTCATGGATGGGTAAAAGCTGGAACTGGCCGTTCTCTTATTTGACTTACAGCTCCTTCCACAAACAGAACTTGTTTGTGTGTGTTTACCCCCTTTATTATAAAAGCAACACATGGTACTTACAAAATTAGAGGCTACAGATTGGGGAAAAAATTTTTTTTTTGACACTTGTATGAATGCATCTAAATAACTTTTCCTTTTCATAAACGTGAGATTATAGTATTTATTAATCTGCCTTTTTAAGGCAGTGTGTCAAATATTCATAATCTACCTAAGTTTTAAAAGCTGCATAGTATTTGATTTATATGCATGTACCATAATTTGTTTAACCGTTTACGCATTAGGTACTTGAGTTGTTTTGAATTTGCACTGTTTTGTACAGAGCCACATGAGCACACTATGTCTTAATTGGTGTACACAGGTGCCCAACATGCATGGACACCTTCTTCTAATGTTTTTTATTTTATTTTATTTTTTTGGTTTTTACTCTTTGGGTCAGGAGGATGTCAAGTCTTCTGCCTTGTAACATCGGGCATGGTAACGAAGCTTCTGTTAGAAACGGATGAGTCAGTCAGTGTCCGGGTGAAACCTGGACATGGGGGCGGAAACAGCTGGCTGAGTCATAGAAACAAGTCAGTGTCCTGTGAGTGGCCTCTGAATCGGGAGCTGGCCTTTCTGTCTTCACTGGCTTCCTCCACAGGTGTGCCTTGAGGGAGAGATTTCTCGCCAGTCCATCTTGAACAGCCTGTCTCGAGGCAAGAAGGCTTCCGGGGACTTGATTCCATGGACAGTGTCAGAACAGGTGATGGGCTTTCCCTCTCATGTCCGAGGGAGTGAAGCTGGTGGTGTCGGAGGATGTTTGTGCTCCTAAGTTACCAGTTAATGTTTCCCACGCAGTTCCAAGATCCAGACTTTGGCGGTCTTTCTGGTGGAAGGGTCGTGCGCATTGCTGTTCACCCGGATTATCAAGGGGTAACGTGTCCTCAGGCCTCCCGAACCTTACGTGCCACCGTTAGCTACAGCCAGGTTGCTGGCAGCTCTTTAGCAGAGGTGTACTTGGTTGTTGGACTAGGAAGCTAGTCCAGAAGCAAGTAAACTTCTAGGCACTTCCCTGCCCTGGGGAATTTAGCCAGCGCCTGGGTGGGCAGGTGGACAGGATGATGGTATATGCTCACTCTTCCTCTGTGAGAGGGGGGACTTGTGAACCAGAGCTGCTTTCCGTCATTCCCTTCTGTCTCTTGGAAAGCCCCACTGGGTGATTAGCTGTAGAAACTTCCCTTTAAGGCAGGGATACAGAAATGGTCTCTCTTTTGGGCTTGCCAGTCTGGGGACCAGAAAGCATGGCCAGCCATCCTTACGCTCCAGTGGCTGCTCTTTTTGGGCTAGGGCAGCATGAGAACTAGGGCCACATTACTTTTGTTCTTCGGAGTCTCTGCTTGGACCTCCTTGAGGGATTTCAGTGGTTCTCTTTGCCATGTGCAGTTTGACCAGGAGTGAAGGCTCTCTAGAGCAATACAGGGGAGTGAAAGGGGCTCAGAGAGCATCTCTCTGCCCTCTGCCCATCTCCCTCCACGTCTGCTCACAGATGGGCTACGGCAGCCGTGCCCTGCAGCTGCTGCAGATGTACTACGAAGGCAGGTTCCCTTGTCTGGAGGAAAAGGTCCTTGAGACATCACAGGAAATTCACACCATCAGCAGCGAGGTAAGCATCTTTTGGCAAAACTCCTTTTTCCTGGTTCTTAGGAAGATAATTCTCTGGGTCTTTAGGGGCATCCACAGGAACCGTCCAGAGGTCTGGAGTCTGCTCATGTTTTCTCCTGATGCTTCTTTCTCCAGCCAAACACTTAAGATCCTCAGATCAACATCATCAGCAACATCTGGAAGCTTGTTAAACATGCAGATTCTACTGAATCAGAAACTGGGATAGGCCCAGCAATCTGTGGCTTGACAAGCTTCCTGGGTGATTCTAATGTTCACCCGAGTTTGAGAACCACTGCTGTGTGGTCTCTTTCTCAACTAAACCCAGACTAAGGAAAGTTGTGTCTTTCCTTAACAAGAATGATTAATGCTGGTAACTTTGACAGCTTTTCACATACATTCATTGGTTTTCATAGTATGCCTTTTCATATACATTGATTGGTTTTCATATAGTATGCCTTTTCATATACATTCATTGGTTTTCATATAGTATGCCTTTTCATATACATTCATTGGTTTTCATAGTATGCCTGTTTGGGAGCCAGGGAAGGGGCTTTTATTTAATTCGGTTCAAGTTCATAGATTTGTCACTTTGCAAGGCTGTCAGGTGACAGAGCCTGGACTTCATGCTGAATCTTCAGAACCCTACCTCTGTCCCTTTGTAAATCTGCTGGGCATTTCTAACCTCTGTGGCTGTTTTCCTACATTCTAGAGGTTCAGAGCAGTGCAATTCCATGCATGTTTAGATGTTTTGTATACTTGGAAATGATCACTTAACTAATTGGTGTTCCTGTATTTTGGAAACCACAGGAAGAAACCTCTCCCAATTTTCCTTATGTTTAGTCTGCTGCCTGGTGTGGCAGGGGTGCTTGAGAATGTCACGAGCCATCCTCTCCCTCTGCTTGAGCGGATTGTGTTCTTTCTCTGGCATCTCTTAGGCCGTCAGCTTGCTGGAAGAGGTCATCGCTCCCCGCAAGGACCTGCCTCCTTTGCTGCTCAAGTTGAATGAGAGGCCAGCTGAGCGCCTGGACTACCTGGGTGTTTCCTACGGCTTGACCCCCAGGCTCCTCAAGTACGTGCCTGTCCTTCCCGGCGTCCCTCTCTTGGCATTGACAAGTCCTGAAAAGAAGAGTCCTGTGGCTGTCTCCCTTTGTAGCCAGTGTCTGTGTCAGCCCACTGTTGACTCCCTGCCCCGCTCCTCCTGGCCCTCACCTGTCTTGTCTCTCAGCCTCTACCCAGAGGGCACACACAGGGACCTACTCTCTTTGTGTCGTTGCAGGTTCTGGAAACGGGCTGGATTTGTTCCTGTCTATCTGAGACAGACCCCGGTGAGTGAGGCATCCGGCAGAGGAGGGGTTTAGGTGTGTGGTTATGGCAGGTGACAGGCCTGTCCTTGCACGTAGCCCTGGTTTACCTCCCTGCTGCTGTGCTCTGAGCAGGTGTTCGTTTATTCCGATGGACACTGAGACAACCACCCTCACTGACAGGCCATGTGATCACACATTTCTTCCTGGTGCTTATTGGGCTTTGCAGTTGATTATAAAGTGGCAGAAGTGTACATAGACTTGCTCATCAGATTCTGGAATCTTGTAAGCCAAAAAAGCTAGTTTTAGGAGAGGAACGCAGTTGTGCAGACTTGTATTACAAGTTGGTATCTGAAAGAGAGATACAAATATGTGGGAGACGAAGCTACAGAGGATCACTGAGGGAAGGTGAGAAAGTGACTGTCAGTCATGTAAAAAAATATTTACCTAGCATCTACAGTGAATCAGGCAGTGAACAAGGTAAGCCGTGAAGCTTATTTTCTAACAGGTAAAAGCAGGCAACATAAAAGTGAACAAGTAAGACACGTTCACAGAGCAGTAAGTGCCGTGAAGGAAACCACACTGGGATTACAGTATAAGGAGGGGTCGGTCAGGCCTCTTCAAGCTGAAACCTGACTGATCAGAATGGACAGTGGTGCGACGGTCCTGGAGAAAAGACCCTCTCCAGCCAGAGGGGAGAGCAAGTGTAAGGGCCTGAGGTGGACATGAACTTGGTTGTTGGAAGGAAACGAAGGCCAGTGTGGCAGGGGAGCCCTTGGAAGGGAAAGGGGCGTGATTCACGGTGGGGGCGTTAGGCCTTGTTAAGGATGCTGCATGCTCTCCCTGTTCCCTTGGAGGAAGAGACGAGAGGAAAGGACCTGGCCACCGTGTGGAGAGTGGATGATAGTAGCCCGGGCGTGGGGGCAGGAGACGTGGGTGACAGGAGATGGAAGTAGTGGCGGTGGAGAGAGGTGGCCAGTTGTGGGACGTTTGGGGGACAAACTGGCTGGAACTGCTGAAAGACTGAGTGTGGAAGGCGAGTGAGAGGAGGAGCCAGGGTAACTCCTAGGGTTTTGGCTTGAGTAGCTAGTGACAGGACTCACTGGGGGAGGAGCAGATTTGGAGGGAAAAGTAGGAATTTTTTTGACATAGTAGGTGTGAGATGCCTGCTAGGCATCCACGTGGAAATGGACAACAGGTGTTGGACTGTAGGAGAACGGAGGTTGAGGAGGGGTTTGGGCAGGAGAGGGAGTCCTGGGAGTCATCGGCACGTTGGTTGTAGAATTTACTCCATGAAGGCAGGGCTTTGCTGTTTGTTCCTGCTGTACCCAGCTCTTGAAAGAGCATCTGCTTAGAGTTACGTGTTCAGTAAATTCTTGAGTGCAGTGAATAACAAGCTTCTGGAGCTATTGAAAATCCACGAGGATGAGTCCTTGGACTCTGAGGCTTAGAGGAACGAGGAAGACACAGCACGGGAGACTGAGAACAAGCAGCCCTGATCTGAAGGAGGAAGTCGAGCGCAGGGTATCAGAAGTTAAGATTAAAATGTGTTTCAAGAGTCAGTTGCAGTGCAGAGAGTAAGTAAGGTGAGGACACACAGTCGGCCATCGGATTCGTCGGTGTTGGTGATCTGAGTGAGAGAAGCTCCAGGCGGGAGGGTTCAGCCTGCCTGGAGAGGAGAGGAGGTGGGGACTGTGAAGAGAAAGGGAGCAGAGAAACCAGGTAGCTGGAGGGAGATGGGAGTTAAGGCGGGTTTGTCATATGGGAGATGCTAGAAGCATATTTGTTTGCTGCTGGGTATGATCCTGCAAGTAGTGGTGCAGGTGAGGGAGCTGATTGCAAGGGTACAAGACTTGAGGAGGCTGGGCGGTGGGACCCAGGACTCGGGAGGGCAGGTGCCCATGTACTTCATCCTTCACCCTTCACAATAGGGAAGGCAGAGAGTGTGGGCACATTGGTTGGCTGGTTGATTTGGTGCTGGGAGGATGAAGTTGTTCTCTCCTGATTGTTTGTTTTCCCAATGAGGGAGGCCATCAGTGTTGCAGGTTTGATTTTGGAGAGTGCAAAGCCAGTATCTGAGGGTAGCTTCCAGGGTCTATTTGAGAGTTTGAAGTGGGACTGGTGAAGACCATTGCATGCCAGGCTGCTTCCGCGAGGGCATGGAGCAGCACAAAGATGGGTTGGGCTCTTGTTGACCATGGGTCGAGGCTGGAGATATAACTCTGGCTGTCAACTGCAAGAATGCAGACCAGTGAGCTTCAGTGTGGTCTGTGGTGTGTTCCCATGGTCTTGTGCTATGCTCTGTTCATTTGGGACGCGGTGCTGGCATCTTGCTACATGAATGTTCTTGGGTTGAACTCCATGGGATGTTTTTATGGTGCGGAGCCGTTGTTAATGTAGCAAAAATTGAAAAACTGTGGTCTCACAGTCACCTACAGAAGCCTGCACTTGCAATCTGGCCAGCATGGGAACTCTGGGTTTTGGTCGTGGAGTTTTGGATTATGTAGAGTTTAAGCTCTAATGACTGTGACTTCAGGGTCTACTTGAAAGGAGCAAGTGGCGCATCTCTGTGAGTCCAGAGCTAAAGTTGGGCTCTGAAGATCCAGCAGCCCTGCTCCACACGTGTGGCACCTTTCGGGAAGTTGCAGGACGCAGTGGTCTTTGAAAGCCCTTGTGTGAACTGCAGCGATGTGAGGAATGGAAGGCGAGGGCTCTGCTCTAGCAGGTGCCTCTCCCAGCCGGGGAAGGACGGGACCGCGGAAGCATCCAGCCTTTTTCCTCTGAGCACTTGCCCTGTATCGACGACGGGTCGTTCAAAAAGCGGGGTTCTTGGTGCTAGTTAAGAATGTGTGTTCCCCAGAATGACCTGACCGGAGAACACTCGTGCATCATGCTGAAGACGCTGACTGACGAGGACGAGGCTGAGCGCGGAGTGTGGCTTGAGGCCTTCTGGAAAGGTGACTGAGGAGCATGTGGTCGGGGAGACAGCAAGGTGATGGGTGGGGGATGCCTCCAGACCTCTAACCCTGTGTGGTGGTGCCCCACAGATTTCCGACGGCGCTTCCTAGCCTTGCTGTCCTACCAGTTCAGCACCTTCTCCCCTCCCCTGGCTCTGAACATCATTCAGAACAGGAACGTGGGGAAACCAGCCCTGCCAGGTGAGCCAGGCGGGCGGGTGCGGGCTTGGGAGCAACCTGGCTGTGTGGGAGGTAGGAGGTGGGCGTGCTGTCCCAGAAGGGTGTGTCTCCCGCTGGCCACCTCCCGCTCACCAGGCCCCTGCTCTGTCTCAGGCCGTGCCCTCTTTCATTTTCATGATACGACTTTGGGGGTACGTCTTGACGTCAGAGATAATTCACGCAGCCAGCTAATTATGGAACGCGATTTAAGTCCTGTGATCTAGGGGAGCGAAGTGCTCAATCCCTGAGGCTTAGTTTCCTGATTTGTGAAATCGTACTGAGAATATGCTGCCAGCTTTCTGTGGCCAGCAACACGTGGACGTGTTTTGTGCATATAAATTCTGTTTGAATATTTAAAATACAAAAAAGTGTAAGGGATCATTATTATTAACAGCTGTTTTTTTGTTGCCTATTTTATTAATATATTTATATACACACATATGTTAATACATTTATGTGTATGTGTGTGTGTGTATAATTTTTTTTTCCAGTTACATTTTGATGGAAAAAATCTTTGTTCCTTGAGCTGGGCAAAGCTTACACACTTTCTGTGAAGCTGGGTGAAGTGACCGAGTGGGGAAAGGGTGGCGTTTTGTTCCTCTAACCCTAGGGCATGGGGAGCCTTTCCTTGTCCTGTGTGTTGGTGTGGGAACACTGAGCAAGGATCCCATGCCAGCTGTCCCCTCCCCCAGTGCAGCCTGGAACTGCCCGCTCCCCCTACCCCCAGAAGGAGAAGGGTCAGTGCACTGCCAGGTCAGGGCTGTGTCACATCAGTGGCCAGGCACACTGTTAGAGGGCTTCTGTGTGTCGTCGGGGGACTGTTGTGTATGCTATCTCGTGAATCCCGTCAGACCCTTCAAGGGCGCGGGCTGACCTGACCATCTGGCTGTGTCTCGTGGACAGCCCTGAGCCGGGCGGAGCTGGACGCGCTCTTCCTCCCCTATGACCTGAAGCGGCTGGAGATGTATTCACGGAACATGGTGGACTATCACCTCATCATGGACATGATCCCGGCCGTCTCCCGCATGTATTTCCTGAACCAGCTGGGGGACCTGGCCCTGTCCGCTGCCCAGTCAGTAGGTCACCTTGTACTCACACAGGGGAGAAGAGGATAGTGGAGCTGTCCGTTTGTTGGGTGTTGGGTTAGGCACGTGGACATAATTTTGTGGCTTCCTCACGGATCTGAGAAGTGGGTGGTGGTCTCCTCATGCTACCGGTCAGGAATCCTGGGCTCTGAAGTGTGGTAACGTGCCCAGCCATGCAGTTAGTAAGTCAGAGCTGCAGTTTGAACCCATATTCTTTTTACCCCACCGTGTTGCCTTGACACTAAACTCTGCCTTAGCAGAGGCCCAGGAACAGCCCAAACTTTCCGTGTAGTTGCGAAGTAGGTATTTGTCAGGATAGTAAAGGTTAGTTTGAGGATTTCGGGAAGAGGGAGTGTTTCATGGAGGTTGGTTTCAGTAACAAGATGAAAGAGAAGATGCTAAAATGCGCAGTGCCAGTCTACCTTCTGTACCGGATAGCTTTGGTCAAGAGAGTAATTCTGGTTCTCGACACAGTTTTAACGGGCGAGGACCTGTCCTGGAGGCCCCTCCAACAGATTTTCCGTCTTCTAGGCTCTTCTCTTGGGGATTGGCCTGCAGCATAAGTCTGTGGACCAGCTGGAGAAGGAGATTGAGCTGCCCTCGGGTCAGTTGATGGGACTTTTCAACCGGATCATCCGCAAAGTTGTGAAGGTAACCTCGGCCTGAGGACAGGGTCTTGGTCTTGAATAATACAGCAAGCCCACTTGCTGCCCCTGAGACGAGCAGATGTTAACATTTGGCTGTATTTGCTGGAGTTCTTCACATACATCAAGAAATACAGGATCCGTAAAGTTCCTCTTCTCTCCAGAGGCACCACTGGCGGGAATTCGATGTGTATCCAGTCTGTGTTTTAGACTCTTAACTGTGAATGTCCCAGACTGTGCAGCGTGTTGCTTTGTGTCTTCAAAATACTCGACCTTTGTGTAAGGCACTCGGTGCCTTGGCAGCAAGTAACTTGGCCCCCACTGCTCTGTCATCGTCTGTTTCTCTGCTGTTGTCTTTTATAGCTGTTTAATGAAGTGCAGGAAAAGGCCATCGAGGAGCAGATGGTGGCAGTGAAGGATGTGGTCATGGAGCCCACAATGAAGACCCTGAGTGACGACCTGGTACGTCCCTGCTTAAGGCCTCGGGAGTCCCAGCATTTCCCTCAGTGCCTCTGGCTGCGTGTGCAGAACGTGTCCCCTTCCCCTTAGGAAGAGCCTCTGCGCTCACTGCGCCGAGTGGGGTTCTGTGGGCCCACGCCAACGGCGTGTTCTCTGCATCTCCCTGCCCTGTGTGTCTCAGCGCACACGGCCTGGAGTCGTGCTTCCCAGTGAGTGTGTGTGTGTGAGTGCGAGAATTTAGCGTCCACTATTGGGAATGTTCTGTTAATCCATTTAGGTAACTTTTTAAGTGCGAATTTTATATGCGTGTATACCTTAAAAAGAATAAGAGCTACCTGTAATGGTTTTGAGGATAAACTGAAGATTAGGAAATGTTCCCTCTTCTTTGTGCTATTCCACCCTGTCTTCACCTTTTTCTGCGTTCCTTTGGTTAGCTCCTTGGCTCTGACCTACTCTCTCTATGGGTTCTTGGCCACAGGATGAAGCAGCAAAGGAATTTCAGGAGAAACACAAGAAAGAAGTGGGGAAGCTAAAGAACATGGACCTCTCTCAGTAAGGCCCCCTGTGCTGATGTGGGGGGCAAGGGCTTGGCATGGCCTCTAGGGCCCTGAAACTCTGGTTGCAGGTTTCTTCTAATCCATATCCCAGGGGCCCTGGAAGCTGTGCTTCATTGGATTGGTTTTAGGAGCACTAACAGCTGACAAAAAACCTTCTAACTGACTGTTTACGTAATTTTGGAGGGGTTGGTTTCCCCAGGTCAGCACTGCCACTTTGCCTTTCCAGTTGTGCTCCCTCATTCCCTGGGGCTCTGGGTCGTACCTTGGGGTTCAGGAAAGAGGATGCTGATCAGATGAGCATACAGGTTAATGGTCACTTTGCTGTATTTGGCTTTTGCATGTGACTTTGAAGAAAGGATTCTACTGCCAAAAACAAACAAGCAAAACGTCCCTTGCTCTAAAGCCTTCTGGGTACTAGGGATCCTGGTCCCTTCTGAGCTCCAGCTATAGTGGTATTGCCCCTCTCCCGCCCTCTGGATTGATGTGAATAATAACTCCAGAATTAGCGGCCTCCGAACCTCTGTGACATGGAGGCCTGTTGCTGGGTTATTAGTGATGGTGGTTGTTGGACATGTGAGATGGAGGTGGCCAGGAGTCCTGGTCAGGGTATTGAGCCCTAGTGTCTGCCCTCAGCTTTGCAGTGTCAAACCTCGATTTGCCAGGGCTGCTAGTGGGGCAGGGAGGGGAGAGGCAGAGTTCACAGGCTTGTGGGCAAACGCCTGGAGGAAGGAGTAAGTGAGAAGGTTGTTGAAGTGACAGAAGATTTCCTCGGTGGTGGTGAATGAGAGTCGGGGGAGAAGTCGGGCAGGCTGCCTCCTGTGCAGGACTGTCCTTGCTGACCCCAGTGTCCAGCAGGCCTGGCCACTTGCTCCTGTGAAGCTTCTGTCCAGTAGAGCTAAGCTGCATGTCTCTGGGCCCTGCCATATGCTTGTCCCTTCTGTCCTCTCTGCTGCTCAAACGCTGACGCAGCTCAGCCTGGCTTTCGTGGCAGGAAGTGTCTGATAAGCATGTTGTCACTGTCGCATTTTCTTTTAAGCAGTCCCTCTCCTTTCAAGCAGGCTTTGATACTTCCCTTCTTTTTTTAGATACATAATCCGTGGGGACGATGAGGAGTGGAATGAGGTTTTGAACAAAGCTGGGCAGAACGCCTCGATCGTCAGCCTGAAAAGGTGAGGGCCTGAGGTCTGACACATCCGACAGGAGGGCTGTCTGCCTCTCGGTGGCTTTCACGGGAAGTAGGAGGTTGGAGCAAAAGATTTGACAGAAAAGTCGTGGTTCTTCCCCTTGAGAGTTCCCTGGTCACTACTTTTGCAACATATCCCCTATAGACCAGGCTAGGCCGTCTCTTAGGCCTGGCTCGCTTCCCTCCTTGTATTCACCGGCCGTGCCAGGGCCCTGGGCTTGCGAGAGCAGTGCGGGAGCTGCTGCCGACGGAGGCTTGCTGTGGGCTGCAGTGCAGCATATCCGTCAGCCCCCAGAACCACTCAGCATCGTTGCTTTGCGACGAAGTAGCCCAGGCTCTGAGGGGTTAAGTAACTTCCCAAGAAGCACCAGCCAGTGACAGGTCCAGGTTTGTCCACTGCAGTTCCCACAGTTTAACTGGTACACTGTCCTTTAAGCCAGCGGTTCTCACAGTTTTGGGTCTTAGAGTTCCTTTATATCTTAAAAAATTGAGGTCCCCAAAGGACTTTTGTTTATGTGGGTCATATCTATTGATATTTCTTATATTAGAAATGAGAAACTGAGACATTTAAAAAATATTTGTTTGTTCACAATAGTGGACACATTATAGTTTTTCTGAGAAATACTTTCATAAAAATGTTAGCCTAAAGAGTAGCATTGTTTTATATTTACATTTTTGCAAATGTCTTTAATATTTGGCTTAGTATTATTAGAAAGCAGCTAGATTCTTATATCTGCTTCTACATTCACTCTGTTGTGCTATCACGTCTTACATTCTCTGGAAGAGAACATTTGTGAGAGAATGAAAATGAAAAAAAGGCAACTAATGTATTCTTATGAAAATAGTTTTGACCTTATGGACCACCTGAAAGGCTCTTAGGGACCTCGGGAGTCCCTAGACCACTCTATGAAAACCTTCACTCCAGGCTTCTTATCTGCAGGGTGGGATGTCTGTAGATAAACATGATCGCTTGGGCTGGAACCTTCATCGGAGTTTCCCTTGGGACTAGGATGAGGCCTCCCCTGTCCGGGCATCTGCAGATGAGGCTTCCACAGCTGGTTTGGGTGTTGGTGGGGAGAGTGACTTTTTGGCATTGTTATAGTTACTGACAGGGTCCCCTCAAGAGTTATAGTTACTGACAGTTTATATGTTGTGAACGTTTGGAAAGAGGAAACCTTGTGACTCTAGGAACCATGGATCCCAGAAATCAGATACTGTCTTCTGTAGTCTCCATAAATCACTATGGCATCTGGAGGGATCCAACATTGATACTGGCCTCATTTCCCAGATGCTCTCTGGTGTGGCAAAAAAGCCCACTGTCAATGTTTCTGGTTTGGACAGCGTGGCAAGTGCAGCACAGGGCCATGATGGCATGGCCAGGGAATGTGCTTGCCACGGAGATGGCCTGGTCCCTCGCTCTGCAGAGCTTGGCCTCGCCGGCCGTTACGCCTGGTGAGGGGCCTCCTGCATCGAACCAGCCTGTGTGTTAGTCCACGGGCTTGAGGGCTCTGAGGAAACGTGAAAGTTTGTACTTTCTGAGGTACAAACACTGAAGTCTATCATTAAATATTCTTTAAGGCCTTGCTTCTTTTTTTTTTTTTCCTGAGAGAGACTTCATTCATGTGATGTTAATGGTCTTTGGATCGAACTGTTCGCACTCTCCTTGTAGGAGGTATTTGTTCCCCAGGCAAAAAGCCACTGGAGAGAATCTTTAACCTATAAGATTTCTTAATGGAAAGTGGCGGCTTGCCGAACTATTCCCGTGCCAGTCTATCAATGAGGAATCCAGTGGCCAGCTGCGAGGTGTAACCTGACTTACTATTCCTTTGGGTTTTCTTCTACTTGCTTAGAAGAAATAAAATAACAGCAGCACATCAGAAAGTATTGTAGGGTTTTCCCCTGAGTCTCATGCTTTGTATTAGGGACTGTCTTCAGGGTAATTGGGTGATGTCTGATTTCCAGGGTAACCCTAGCAGTGAGAGTGGTTGGGAGGGAATCTTTGTTGCGATGCCTTAGCTCTTTCTTGGGGTCTCATGAGGGGGAAGCAGCACACTGAGAGAACCCGCATTTTAGGTGTTATGATAGAGATTTTTTCCTCCACAGACCAAGAGCTCAGGGCAGGAACAGGTCTGTGTGGTGTGTCCCAGCACAGTGCCGGCCTCCCTACTAGGTTTGCAGAGAACGTTTATGTCTCACTGGGTGTTCTTACATCAAGGTTCACGTGGTGGAAACCCTTTTGAGACAAAGCAAAGCAGTCTGAGAGATCTGTACATGTTCTTTCTATTACTGATTTTTTTTCCCCCAGTGACAAGAAAAGGAAGTTGGAAACTAAACAAGAACCCAAACAGAACAAGAAGTTGAAGAAAAACAGAGAGATGAAGAACAAAAAAGATATGAAACTGAAGCGCAAGAAATAGCGAAGGGAAACTTGGGCATCCGTGGCCAGCCCGTGAGGAGATACTCTGACTTCCCGAACCCTCTGGCCGGACCGGTCAGCAGCCTGCACTGTTAGCCTCAGAGCCAGCCGGGAATTCAGTCTAAGGGCCTGACAGTGCCAGGCTGTGGGCCCAACCTGGCTGAGGGCAGAGTCACTCCCGAATGGGTCTGCTTAGAACTGGATGGTCAGGCAAACCTCTGGCACTGCCAGGGGTCTGTCTGTCCTCCCCCAAGTCCAGGGCCCTCCTGTTTGCCTTGGACCAGCTTTTCAGACTCCTTCCCACACCTGTGGAAGCCACACTGATTCTTGGCCCTCTCAGGCCCTTAATTAAGTATGTGCACAGCTTCCTTGTGTCTCTCATCATGGACTTGCCCAAGCACCCTGAGGCCTGGAGCAGGGGGAACTCTGGTCCGCCCAGGTGGCCATGGCAGGCCACTGTTGGGTGCGCCAGGGTTTGCTGATGCCGCGCACGCTTCCTCTCCCGGCTCCGGCAGGCCTGCTGCCTGCTCTGTCTCAGAAAAGTCTGAGCCCTTCCCCAATTTAGGTAGGCTACCACATCCTGTGAGTCCCCAAGACCTGTTCATCCAGTTGGGCAAAGGTGTTGGGAAAGGCCCTTTTGCTAACAGGGGTGAGGGAAGGGATAGAGAATCTATTTTTAATAAATAACATCCTAAAAAGACTAACTGCCTGTAGGTGTTCGTGAAATCCGCGCATGTGGAAGTTGCACGTTGCCCTGTTTCTTCTGGTGGATCTTGGCTGCGAGGTAGAATCTGCAGAGTGTTGCTCTCAAGGCCAAGGGTGGGCAGTGTGGCTAGGGCGTCCCAGCTCGGGAGCCTGTGGCAGAAGTGGCAGGCACTGAGCGGTCACCTTGATGGGCTTGGCGAGGTGGCTGGAAGCCAGCTAACTGCCTCCTTCCTAACTCCTGCCGAATCATTTGGTCACTCCCATTTGTTGAGGACAGAAATTATCTGGTGGCTTCACACATACTTTGGTACATTTGTTTGATGGTATCCATGCTGCGAGTCCAGATAGAACGTTTCCGAAGCCCTAATAGTAATCTGTGTGTAGGGAAATCTAATGGAAAGAAAGGGGAGTTTCTGTATTAAACATGCAACTCCCAGACCATCCTCGGAGGGAGCAGAGTGGGCTCTGTGCCTAACCTTAGGACTGCTGCGCCTGGTCCCTGACACTGTCCGGACCTGGGTGTAGGGGCCTTTTGTTTCCTGGATCTACAGCTTCCTGCCCACAGATCCTCTGTTAAGACTGTAGGAAAGTTTGCTGAGGCGGGGGGGACATGAAAATAATTTTTATTTATTTTCTCAGGTGGGTGCCTGAGCCTGCCTTTCTTTCAAAGAGGATTTTCTGAGGAGAGTGTGACGGAAATCAGAGTCCAAATCTCCAGTGGTCAGAGCTGGATAGTGTCTTAAAAGTTGCCCAAGCACATCATCCTACAGGTGAGGAAGGCTTTGTTCAGTGTCTCTGGCCCCAAAGCCTGTCCAGCCGGCTCTGCTGTGGTGTGCAAGGTGAGAGGGGCTCTGAAGCCAGGCTGCCCTGCCAGGCCCCCACTGTGACCTTGGGCATGTTACTTCACTCCGCCTGTCCTTCAGGCCCACGTCTGTAAAATGTAAGAGTAGCACTGCCCTCACAGGGCCTTGGTGAGAGAGGTGGCTGAGGTCGAAGGAGAAGAGCTTAGAACGGTGCCTGGCATGGAGCCAGTGCCCACTAAGTGGCTCTGGGCTCTCTCAGATCCAACTCGGTGAGCTGGTCAGTTACGCCCCAGCTCCAGGAATGCTAAGGACCGGCTGTGTTCTAAAGCTATGACCTGAACTAGAGAAAACAGTGTCCCACTTGGACAGCAAAGAGCACGCGCTTTTGCAGGCAGACTGTCTGGCTCTGTGTAACAGCTCCGTATCCTTGGACAAGGCCCTTTTATTTGCAAAGTGCGTGTTCCGAAACAGGTGTCTGCGTTTTGTGGTCGTGATCTTGGGTTCTCCTTCAAACCTGAAAAGGCACGCCTCCCCCAGACCTCACCATCTGGCCCCCAGACAGAGTGGCATCTGTAAGGCTTGGCTGTCTCAGGAAATGTCACTTGTGAAATGGATTCATACAGGCCAGCCACGAAGGCTGTCACCAGGACGGGGAAGGGGCTGAAGAAGCCTGAACAAAGAAGGTTCCTAAATGGTCACCCCCGCCCCGAGCCGTCGGGGGCTAATGCTGGCCTGCTTCAGTGCTTCCACTGCTCATCTGGCCCAGCAGTCCCAGAGGGCTCTGGAGTGACCAGGAGACGGGACACAAAGGGGGCTGCTGAGGCTGGGAGGTGGGGGAGGGGTGGAAATAAGTGACCGTCACCTTGGAAAAATGTAGACTCATTATCTGAGGCCATTACAACAGCAGCAGCCCGTCTGCAGGCCTAGAGCCGGGGGGTGGGGCTGGAAGCCCCCTGGGCCTGGATGGGCAGTTTCAGACTAGGCGAGAAGAAGATGCCCTTGATTCTATAAACAGTTGGTAAAGTTAAACATCGGGATTCTGCAGAGGGTGTGAAAGGAGGCCTTGAAAGGGAAAGGCCTGAGGCTCCCTGTGGTGGCTGCTTCTGCTGGGGAGAAAGCTGTGATCACCCTGCATCTGGCATGGGGGGCTTCTGGTGGGACGTGGTAACAGGCAGAGAGCAGGAAGGAAGGAAGCATCAGGAGCAGGAGACCAGCCAGCCTCGGAAAGAGACAATCCTCCTGTTAGCCTTGCTGGTCCCGGAGTGGACTGGCACCCTCCACATCTGGAGAGGGGTTTCCTTTGGAGCTGGAGGAGAGAAGTCCCTGTGTATGGAACTGATGTGCTCGGGCCCTCCTTACCAAGGGCTCCTGCAAGGAGAAGCTGACTTTCCTCTCAGCCCAGCCTGCTGGTGGCTGCCAATAGCCCCAATCAGACAGCTGGGGGAGGAATGGCCCCGAGGTCTGGAGTACCGGCCCTGAATTAGGGGGAAGTCCCGCTGCAGGGTAAGTGATCATTTCCATTGGAGTCTAGCCCTTTGGAAGAATGTCTGACTTTTTTCCCTAATTGTTTAGCTTTAAATATTTGTTCAAAAATGTGATCCTGCTTCACGCAGGCTCAAAGGGGCCCCGCTGCTCCCTCATACCTCCACTTCCTTTTAGCCCCGCTACCTACCCTCCCCAAAGACAGAAGAAAATGGCTGAGCCCCCAGCTAGAGCCAGAGCGGAAATAGATCTTGCCTTTTAGGCTGGGTACTGAGCGAGGCACGGGCTGTGGAGGTGTTGGGGTAGGGAGTGAGGGAACTTACTGGACACAGACCCCTGAAGCTTAGCCCTGTCGTATCGCAAGCGCTGGGGAGGAACAACCCCCTCCAGTGCCTTCATAGGGCCTCTGCATGGGGGCAGGGTGCGGAGCGGTGCGCCTCCACCCTTGGCCCCCAGGGGGCACCACAGGTCCACGCGGTCACTAAGACCCTTGGCTGGGCTGTGTGCTACCCTGCTTGGCTCCCCACGCCAGCAAAGCTGAAAAGTGGGCAGAGTCTTCCTGTCAGTCATCCCCGCAACTCGTTCAGGTTCTTGGTGACCTTAGGCACTTCTATTCCTGCCTCAGGCAGGGAACTGTTTACAAAACCTTATTTCTGCCTGGGCTTTTTCTGCCTGGCTATTTCTCCCAGAAAACCCTTGGGCCTGAGTCATGGCTCACCACCCTCCCTCGTTACTTCTGCCGGTGTCCGGGTGGTGGCAGAGCCCACTCAGGCTCAGCAGGGCTTGGAGGCAGCAGCCACCCAGGGACAGGCAGGTGCCTTTCATCATGCCAGGCCTGGGTGGAGAAGGCCCTGCCCCCACCTCGGTGGGCCACGCAGTTTGGGGCTGTGCTAGGGTTTACAAACACCTGAAGACAATCCCCAAGTTAGGTCCCATGTCAGGAGCTGTGGAGGGGTCCGGGCCGAGGTCAGGAAAGCCCAGTGCTGTCTTACTCCTCAGCATGTGGCTCCTGCCCACCTCAGTGGCACACATGTGCTTAATAAATATGAGCTGTTTTACATCATCTACATCATTTCATAGATGAGGACAACGAAATAAACGAGGGAAGTGCTAGCTCCTGCCCCTAGTGGGTGGATCCAGGCTTGGGTCCTGGGGAGAGGCGAGGGGTGGCCATAGCATAGCTTTGATGGGGGTGGTCTTTCCCTCTGCAATATGAGGAGACCCAAGTTATACAGAATAGGCTCTGGGATCTCTTCCCAGTCCTAATGGACTCCTCTCCAGCCCTGAACTCTGAGCAACCCTCTACCAGGAGCAGTAGGGCCAAGGTCATTGTTAATGGGTGTTTGTTTATTGTTAATAAAACCATGGAACATTTACAATAAGTGACAACATTAATGTACAGTTAAAGTATCATACAATATTACAGCAATAAAATAACGCCTATTCCTTTATACATTCCAGCTCAAGCAGCTAGTCAAAAATATTTTCCAAGATTGCAAGCCCCCGGGGGCTTTTCAAGGTGGCCCAGGTGATACCTCCTGAATGCCCCAGGGGCTTTGGTGAATAAATAGTTTCTAAGGTGTGGCCAGACAGCTGAAGCAGCTACACCTAGAGCAAGCCAACCTCCATGCTCCCCCAGTGTCTGGCCCATAAATATGACGGGCGTCGGAGAGTGCCCAGAGCCCACAGAGAGGAGAGCCTCTTCTCCCAGCCCTTCGCTTCCACTGAAGCCCTGTCCGTTGTCCCCCATGGAGAAGTGTCTGCCCCGCTCTCCAGTCCTCAGGTAAAGGGAACTTGCCAGGAAGGATGTTTAGGCTCCACTTCCTGAGCCCACAGAGGCAACCTAAGTACAGGCTTGGGGTTTCAACCGCTTTACTTTGGCCCCCAAAACAGCAGCAAAATGAGCTGAGGCCACTAGGCTCCTGCATTGTGCCCCTTGCACCCCCATGCTTCCCTCAGAAGCCGTCAGCTGGGGAACTGCCCTCTACCTGAGCAAGTTGGTAGTCCCAACGGGAGGGCCTCTGTAGGCCCAGACACCAAAGAAAATGGGGAATCAAAGTGGCCCTCTGTGTGGGGATCCCCAGGCCCCTGGAGGTCCATATTAAGCCTTTCAAAGCCTTGTGGAATAAGTCCAGGGGTTTGGGCAGCCTTTTCAATGTGGCATTTAGGAAGAGAAATACCAGCTTTTGAAAGAAATGGCCTATGTGTACGTTCTATGCATCCATCAAGATCCTCCTGCCCCCGGAGCCCAGTTGGCACAGTCTGAGCTTCCTGAGGCCCTAGGGCCTGGTCAGAGCACTGGAGCAGAGGTGGGACAGGACCGGCTGCTGGCCTGCAGGAGGGGACAGGGTGCACAGGTGAGTGCTCAGGGCCCTCAAGCTGCAAACTGTGGGGTGGAGAGAAGGACCACCTTTTGGCCACATTCCTCCTCTGCTCGTCAGTGGTTGAGCAAGCTGTTAGCTCTGGGGCAGAGGAGTTGCGGGTGGGCTGCCTTGAGACAGGTGGGCTCAGGGCTCAACTGCCTACCCGAGGACCGATCAACACCAGAACGGGTAGCTGGGGAAGGAAAGGGAAACTGAGGCCCCGCGAGCCTGGCTCCGAGAGGGCCTACAACCACCTGGCAGGGCCCTCACGTGTCCACAGGCCCTGGCAGCACTGCTCCTGTCTTGGCAGCCTTTCCCACCCCCTCAGGCGCCCTCACACCCGGGAGGTGATGTAGACAGAGTGCACGCGCTCGGCCAGGGTGCTCTGCAGGTCCTGCAGCGGGTCCAGGCCCTGTACTTTGCTGCTGCGGCTGTAGATGAGCTGCCGGAAGGAGTCCTGCTCCAGCAGGGCCTTCATGTGCTTGAGGAAGAAGCCCTCACAGAACAGGGCCAGTTCGGGGGCATTGTGGATCTGCAGGGGCAGAGAGCAGCGGTGAGGCCCATAGCCTTAGCACAGCCACACCTGACACTGCCTGCCCTCACCCCCCGCTCTTACCTACCCATGGCCAAGGTCCTGCTTAAGCCTCACCCTGGTCCTGGGGGAGGCGTTCCCTGTCTCTGCATCTTGAGGCCACCTCCCCTTATCCGAATTCCTTCCATAACCATCTCCTTGGAGAAGGACCCATCCAGGTCCAAATCCCAGCTGTGCCACCAGGAATGTTACCAAGGTCTTACTCTTGGTTCCCATCATTTTCTTTGCCTACAGCACACTGTCACGCTGCCTCGTAGAGTGGCAGTCATCCCCATTGACTGGAAGTCCCCTTCCTAAGGGCAGGGACAGGAACTGTCCGGCATCCAGCACAGGGCCTGGCCCGTGAGTGTGCGCATGGTAAATGTTCAATAACCACTCATTCAACAAATAGCAAGTGCGCATTTTGGGCCAGGCACTGGGCGTTAGGTTCTAAGGTCGAGGTCTCTGCAATGCTGTCGATGTTCTAGTTCAGGGGAGACAGAATCCAAGGAACCGACCAGACAAGGTAACTGCAGACAGTGCTCAAGGCTGTGCAGGAGATAAAGCTGGTGTCGTGGTGGAGGGACAGGGTGGCCTGGGGGAAGCCAGAGGCAGCCTGGGGACATCAGCTGATGAAGGCAAAAGGCTGGTCTTTTGAAGAGCTGGGGAAGGAGCTTTCTGGGAACAGCTGTCATGAGAGTCCCGGTGTAGGGACAAGCTGAGAACACAGGGCTGTGTGGTCTGGTGAGTGGGGGGAGATGTGGGCGGCCCCTGGGGCGTGTTAGGCATGCTTGGGGCTGGCTTTTATTCAGGCTACAGGCAGTGGAGAACCTCTGGAGAGCTTAAATAGGGGTGTGACTTGGTCCTTGCGCTTTTGGAAGAAGCTTGTGGATTGCAGGGTGATGCAGGGAGGCCAGGCCCAGCCTCAGAGGGCTGGTGGCATCCCTGGGCCTCACCTTGGCGTATTTGTAGGTGTTCACGGCGCTCTCCACGCTGAGGGTCTGGGAGCACAGGATCTCGCAGTGCCTCTGCAGGGCGTCCAGCTGGAACAGGCTGGCAGCCGACAGCAGCTGGCAGGGAGGTGAAGCAGGTTTTGGGTACCCATGGCCAGCTCTGGGTGCCGTGTGCCCTGAACTCCCCACCCTCAGGCCCAGCCACCCGCTCCTCCTGGACCTGACTATCCCCACCGGGGGAGTCCCTCTCTAAGCCCGGGTGTGGCCGCTGCGTACAATTCCTGGTCTCTGGGAACTGCCCTTCCTGTCAGATGGAGAGAAAGGACCCCACAGGAACCACCTCTGCCCACTCCCGGCCGAGAGCAGGGCTGAGACGCGGCAGATGTCTAAGGCTGGGGAGACACAGGCGCAGAGGGGGTGGGAGACGGGGCCGTTTCCCCAGGTGCTCACCTCCAGGATGTCGGCGGTGGGGATGTGCATGGACTCCGTTCCTCCGTAGTACAGGTACTGCATCATCAGCTGCAGGGGACAGGCCCGAGTGAGCCGAAGGGACCCAAAGCACAGGATGCCACACCGCTTGCCCTCCCATCCTGTCCCTCTGCGTGTGACGCCTGCAGGTCCCCCAACTCTGCCTCTCCCTCCCCTCTCCCCTGCTCAGCCCGACTCTCAAACACTGGTCTTTCCCCAGAACGCCGCCTCCAGGAGCCGATTCCAAGACCCTCACTCCTGACTCTGCCCGTGGGACAAGCTCTCTTCCATGGTTCCTTTTCAATCCTAATGACAACCCCGTGGGCCCAGGAGGTGAGACACTATTCAGAGCTGGGGAAACTGAGGCCCAGGGAAGGAAAATGACTGGGTTGACATCCCTCGGGTCTCCTCACTCCCAGTCAGAGCTCTCGCATTGCACCTGGCCCCACCCTGCTCATTTTACACAGAGCCATGGGGCTCGGCGGAGATGACTGTCTAACAACCGGCTCCCCTCAGAAGGCCGCCTCTGGCCTGTCCCTGTGTGTGCTGGGGCTCCGCTGTGGAGACGAGAGTTACATCCTGACTCCCTGGGAAAGAAAGCACAGAGCCCAGGCCACCAGACGGGGTGGTCTGGGAGGGGAGCTATATTTAGTTGTGCCGAGGTCTAAGTTACACACTCTGCCATCACGCTGGAGCAAGTGAGGTTCCCAGTTGGAAAAAAGAAAAACAATTCTTTCTAGTTGGCCGAAGAAACGGCCCCAGCAAGGAACTGGCAAGTGTGTAAGTAAACACAGCTCCGCCGGCACAGTTGGGCTCCGTTAGGACCGGCCCGCGGGCTGAAAAGGCACCAGAGGGTCTAGGAGAAAGCCCGACCTTGGGGAGAGGAGAGGAGGCTGGCTGCCAGCCTCTCCCTCAGAGGAGTGGGAAGCTCCTGCTGGATCCCTGTGGAACCTGTGATTGTACATTAAGTGTCCGTCTGTCCCTCCAGGAGGCCTGCCCCTCTGCTCAGGGCTGGGTGTGGGCAGATCTATCTTCCAGGACTCTGCGAAGAGATGGCCTCAGGGCAGCCCCTTGGCAAGGGCCTGGGCCAGGGCCACAGGCAGCCACAGCCTGCAGCTCCCTTCCTGGCCTGCAGGCGACCTCCTGCTGCATCTTGGGAGTTGGTTTTGGCAAGGCCCGGCCATCTGTGGTCCGTACGTCTCCCTGAGGCCGCTTGAATGCTTATGAGGCCATGGAGCTGCTGGCTTGGAGTCTTGCGAAGGGAGCTGGGCAGCCTGCAGGCAACGGCAGATTAATTTCGCACAGCTTGGCAGCCCCTGGCAGGATGTGGGTCACCTGCCTCTCAAAACCGGGCAGCCTTCGGGGCTGGACAGCCAAAGGGCTGCTCGAGGAAAAGCCCCAGGCAGGACCAGCTGCAGGCAGCAGTTTCCTTCGGCCCTCGTGGGCCACCAGGAAGCCCAGACTACAGAAGCCAGGTTGGAAAGGCAGGGTTGGGGCTTCTGAGCCAGTCCCCAATGCCTGGGTTTAGTTGACAGTGACCTTGGCAAGTCGATAGAACTGTGCTGTCCGATATGATAGCTACTGGCCACCTGTGGCTGGTCTGGATTGAGGTGTGCTCTGTCAAATTCATACTGGATTTTAGAAACTCAGTATGAAAAAAATGCAAAATAGGCCGGGCACGGTGGCTCACGCCTGTAATCCTAGCTCTCTGGGAGGCCGAGGCGGGCGGATCGTTTGAGCTCAGGAGTTCGAGACCAGCCTGAGCAAGAGCGAGACCCCGTCTCTACTAAAAAAATAATAGAAAGAAATTTGCTGGACAACTAAAAATATATATATAGAGGAAAAAATTAGCCGGGCATGGTGGCACATGCCTGTAGTCCCAGCTACTCAGGAGCCTGAGGCGGGAGGATTACTTGAGGCCAGGAGTTTGAGGTTGCTGTGAGCTAAAAGGCTGATGCCATGGCACTCTAGCCCGGGCAACAGAGTGAGACTGTCTCAAAAAAAAGAAAAAATGTAAAATATCTCTAACTTTTTACATTGATTACATATTGAAATGATAATGTTTTATCTATACTGGGCTAGCTAATATATTAAAATTAACTACTTCACTTGCTTTTTTTTTATGTACTAGTAGTACATTTTAACTTACGCTATGTGGCCCACAGTATCTTTCTATCTTACTGTACTGCTTAGATCTCCTTCCTCCTCCAGAAAACACAGAAAATAATAACACCCCCCGCCCCTCCCTGGCACTGTGAGAGCCAGTGAGATATCTGGAGATGGCTCTCAAACGCCCAGGCTGTTAGGGAAGCTGGATGGGTGGCTTCGGGCCGACCCCTCCAAGGGAGCCCAGAATGCAGGAGCCAAAGTCTGGAGGCCCCACCTGAAATGACGCCCCCCATAATGGCAGAGTTCTGTATCCAGAGAACCCGGGGAACCCACGGGGCAAGGCCGGTGCCCTGGGCCAGGTTGGAGTGATCAGCCAGAACTCAGTGAGAGGCCGGGTAAGGGAGGGCCAGACACTCCCAAGGCCCACGTGAGACCTGGCATCCCCATTTCCCTCCCAACAACCCCGAGAGGTCATCGAGGGGCTCAGCCCGTCCTGCCTGGCTACCCTCCCCTGGCCCCGGTGAGCAGCGGCGGCCTTGGTGGCAGCTGAGTCAGCACACATCTCCCCTCCTGGCAGTGGCTGCTGTGTCCACACGTGTGCACTCAACTCCCCACTCTGCACCAATCCTGGCCGCCCCTCCCGGACCCGCCTCCTGCTGATCCGATCGTGACTCCAGCTCACCTGGACTTTGGGCTTCTTAGCCAAACAGGTATCTAGAGCTGCCTCTTCCCCAGAGAGTTTGGATCAGGGGATGGGGAGGCGCCACCACCCTGCTGCCTATGCCGGACCCTGGTCCCTACCGCCCGTCAGTTACCAGGGCCCATCCACTCTCCCCTGCTCTACTTCCCTTCATCCCACTGGCCACCCAGCACCATTGTCACTCAGCTGGACTCCTCACCTGCTCCTAACTAGTCCCCTGGAAGTAGCCATGTCCCCTTCAACCCCTCCCTCACCTCTGAATGCAAACTTGGCCACTCCAAACACCCTGGGTTTGAATTCCGGTTCTATTGCTCCCCAGCTGAGTGGCCTTCAGCAAGTTACTCAACTTCTCTGCGCAGGTAGCCCCTCATCTACCAAGAGGGATGACGATACCCCCACACCTAGAACTGTGCTGAGGCTTATGTGGAAAACGGGCAAAGCACTCAGAACCAGGCCCGCCTCACTGTCAGTGATGACGACCTCATCCCCCTGCTTCAAACCTTTTAGAGCTTCCAGCTGTCCCTGCGTTAAAGGTCGAGCCCTCCGTGCTCTGGCTCCGCGGGGCAGCTTCAGACTCATTTCTAGTTGTTCTTCTGAACTGTTGCCCAGGCTAGACCAGAGGGCATTTCCTGCACATGTCACGGACTCTGGCCTCTGGGACTTAGCATGTGCTGTTCCCTCTACCCAGAGCCCCTGACAACTGGCTACCTGCCCCAGTCCTTGAGACCCCAGCCTGTCACTGCCTGCAGGAGGCATCCCTCATCTCCCCACGTACCTTTCCTGCACCCCAAGAACCCCCTGGGCTTCCCTCATGGCAACCATCACACTCTTTCATAGTCCTGTCTCCTTGGGGGCAGGATCATCCAGTTTGCTGCTTCTTCCACCCATAGATGGCTAAATACTAAATAAGTGACTAAAGGAAACATGAGAGAGGAACTGAGCCACCTCAGATGGTGGCCGCCTGGGCCTCGTGAGACTGCGGATTTTGAGATCTCACCCATTCCATCACAAACCCATTCTGCGCAGGGCAGGGCCCTGGGGCCACCCACCTGCTGCCTCCTGGCCTGAGCCCAGCCCCTGTCAGCCCTGAGCCCCTGCACAACCTGGAGGTCTCCAGTCACCACTTTCCCGAAAGGAGATCTCAGCGGGGCTCAGCTGAGATCCCAGCCAGGGCTCTGCCTCCAGACCTCGTTGGTCCCGAATGGAGTTTCTATTACATAACTTTTCATGTTCTGCAAAACTCAGAGCCTGGAGGACTTGACTTTCATCTTCTATAACCAGGATGAGCTCCTCGTGGCCTGTTCTGCTCGGCCAGCGTGGCTGGGGTGTGATGGTTGGGAGGAGTGACCGGCCCACACCAGCACTTCCCAAACTGCACACGAGCCACCTGGGCACCCTGTGACGATGCGTGTTCTGGTGCCGGAGGCGTGGGCTGGGGCCCGGGGCCCTGCATTCCCAGCAAGCTCTCAGTAACGCTCACGTGCTGGGAGGGAGCCCACTCTGATGACAAGGGCCCCTAGGCCACATGTGTGGCGTGTGCCTGTCCCTACACGTCTGTAGGCTGCCTGGACATCGTGTCCAGTGGTGAGAGCCCAGGACCTGTGAGACAGGCTGACACTACGGCCGCACAACGATGGCTACTTTGGCACAGGGAAAGACCTGGATGCTCTAATCTGACCGATGATGCAGCAAAACACAGAGGGCACTGGGGGTAGCCTGGAAAATTATGAGCGACCCACAGCCGCCCCCATGGGGCAGGGGCATCCCTCCCAGACAGGCAGCACTGAGACCCACCCACCTGAAAAATGTGGTACTTCATGTCGCTGATCTCAATGGTCTTGCTGCTGTCCCCATCTTGCTCTGATTTATTGGTCATCAGCGTCTTGAACCTGGAGCAGAGGAGACGAAACAAAGCAGGTTTTGAACGTGACTTTTTCTCCATCACCATGCAGTGACGGCACCACCTGTCACCTGATCGGCTACTGGGAGACAGAGCATTTGAAAGATTACTGCTGTGCTCCCCAAATAATTCTCCGCAAGTGACGTTTTACATGGTGCTGACAGCGGGGGCCGAGCCCCATTCCGTCCCTGCTGACCCCAAACGCGTGACCTGACGCCTGTGGCCGGAACATGGACTCCTTGTTCCAGGGTATTTATGTTTTCTAATAATCAAAAGCAATAACCAGGCCAGAAAGAACAGCCCCTCTGAGCTCCTCCCCGTGGAGGACTCCGGCCCACTCCTCCCGCCCCATCCAGCCTGCCTCATGCCCCACATGGGGCAGGTGGGCTACAGCCCCGGCCGGCCGCCCTCTGTCACCTCGAATCTGAGACAAGCTGCCCTTGCGCCCCTGGGGCTGGGGCTTTATCTGAGGCTGCCTACCTGTTAGATGCCGTCACCAGCAGGACTTTATGTGCATAAAACAGCTTTCCTTCCACGAGGAAGGTCACATCCGACATCTCCTTGTTGTTCAGAAAGTGAGGATCTGCGAAGACGGGAAAGACAAAGGGACGTGGCTGAAGTGTCTACCTCTGGGGGTTTCTCATGTGTGCTGCGAGGTGTGTGTCAGGCAGGGGTGGGACACAAAGGTGAGGGACAGAGAAACTGAGGCCAAGGCCTTGGCACTCAGGGATGGAGGGAGGAAGGATGAGGGCAGGGCGCGCGGAGACGGGCCTTCACCTAGCCTGGCTGGCAGGGTCTTCCGGATCTCTGGGATGCTGGGGATGGGGCTGGTGCCGTAGCAGTGGGTGAAGATGGCAGCCAGCTGCTGGGCGACAGAGTCGTTCTGTGGGAGAGGGAGAGAGGCCGGTTAGCTTGCCCTGTGCCACTGTTTACAGCTGCAGATACGTCAGGCTGATGTCAAAAGTCCAGGCCGGGATTAGAGCAGCCGCTGTCTTTTGTTCCTGCTGGATCTGGCTCGGCAAGAGATGCCTGTGCTTCCATCAGCGATTCCCCAAATGGCCTTTTTGGCCAGGTTCCAGTCCAGACACATGCACGGCCCCTGCCCTCTGCAGCCGGGCAGCATGAGTCTGCATGCTGGGGATGCGCGTCTGTCCGTGTGCGTGGGGGGTGCCCGTGTCTGCCTGCCTGTGTGTCCGTTCACACGTCTGTCCTGTGGCCCGGGTCGGGGCTGTGGGCTCTGGAACCCGGGGCTCCCTGGGCGTGGGGCGGGGGCTGCTGGCCACACTCACTTTGCTGGTCTTGAGGATGTCGAACAGGAGCTGCAGGCCCTCGGTCACCAGCTCCTCGTTGTACTCCTCCTCCTTGATGGAGCCGAAATCCCGCAGGAGGCTCTGCACCACCGAGTACCGCGACTGTGAGAAGGACGTCCTCAGAGACTCGATCCAGATGTGCAGCTTCCAGGGCACGCCTGGCCAGGCAGGGAGAGGCAGGCAGTCAGGCGCCTCGGCACAGCGCTCCCCACGCAGACCCCACCGTTCTCCGGCCGGGCGGGCCTGTGTCGTGGGGTGCCCCCCCGCCCCTTCGCTGTGTGCTGAGCGGCCGTCCCGGCGTGGCCACACATGAAAGCCTTAATTCACGCAAGAGGCCACGTGGGTGGTCAGAGGGCAGTCCCGGTTCTCTTTGGATGAGGTGGAGGAATGACTGCAGCCCGACACAGGGAACCCCGACAGCCCCGCTGGCAGATTTGTGAGTGTGGCCCCATGGCCCGCAGGAGCCCTGTTGCTTGTTGGACTCCAAAATTATTTGCTAGAGAGGACCTATTAATTCCGGAGGGGTGGCCAGGCAGACTTGGGTGCCCGGAAAATATGCAGGACATTCAAGGACACGCAGGCCCTGAAGTGGACCTGGCCCTGTCCCAGAGGGAGGGCCCAGCTCCCATGAGACTGGTGTGTCCATGCGCACCCAGGGACAGACAATGACTGTGTACCTGCTCCCCGCAGTGTGTCACTGGGGACACAGAGCTGTTTAAAACTGCTGGGGAAGTTCAAGACATGAACTAGTCCTGTTCCTGGTAATTAGAGAGATAGCTTCTTACCCCCCGGCCTCGCTGGGGATTACAAGAGATGGCATTCCCCAGGGACACGCCGTCAGGTGGTGCTAGCACCCTCAGTTTACTGACTGCAGGTGGGAGGGACATCCCCACTTTACAGCAAAGAACACTGAGGCAGGCTGCCTCCCTGCTCTCCCGGCCCAGCCCTGGGGCGTGGCGTGTGGTGACCCTGTGATAACAGCCTGGCTGCCGAGTTCCAAGTGCTCACAGCAGGCACCGTGCCTCGGGCTTTAGGTGACGTCATCCCATTCCTAGATGATGATCGTGAGCACCAAACCCCCGCAGAGAGAAGGGAATCGAGACTTGGAGAGATTACATGGCGTGTGGCCAACACAGGATCTGACCTACGTCTGTGTGTCTGTCTGACCAGCCTCCCTGGAGGACGCAGAAAGTCCACAGACTGGAAGACTGAAGGAGTGAAAGAGGCTGGCCGAGGACAGGCACGGTGACTCACAGGGCTCAGTGCGCTACACGTCCCTGAGCTGTGACCAGCGAAGGGGCAGCCAGGGAGGATGGAAGGCCTGAGGGTGCAGGGCTGGGGCCATGACCTTGGGAGGTGTCATTGCTGAGGACTGTCTGAGGCCCAGGGCACCTCCTGGCCTGGCCACACCCTGTGCTCAGCTGCCCTGTGGGCCCTGCCCCCTTGGCCTGCTGAAGAGCAGCAGGGACTGACTGTGTCCACGTGCGTGTGTGTGTGTGTGTGTGTGTGTGTGCATGTGTATGCGCGTGTACATGTCCGTGTATATGTGTGTGTGCGCGTGCATGTGCACTCACGCACGCCTGCGCAGCCTCACCCAGCGTCCTCAGCTCCATGGTGATGTCCACGTAGCCGTGCTCGGCGCTGTAGTACATGGCCTCCTGCAGGGCCTTCGTGCGGGTCCGGCTCAGCCGCACGGGCCCCTCGCTGCTGCTGCCCTGGCTGGACGTGTCGCTCTCCTCCACGCCCTCGGCCAGGATCTCTTCCAGGGACAGCACGTCTGCTTTGGCCTGCTGCGGCTGCGTCAGGAGCTTCCTCAGGACATTCCTGCGGGCCGAGGGGTGGAGGAGGGCGAGGCCTGAGATCCCACAACAGGCGGCGCCTGCCCGAGCTGCCGCCCAGCGCCCCGCTGCCCGGATGGGCTGCCATGGGGCATCTGCAGGCTCGGGGAGCTCCCGGTCTGCCTCTCCCACACGGGGACACCAGTCCCCATAACCTGGGGGTCAGGGATGGGTGCAGGGAACCCCTCCCTCCTGCCACTCTGGTAGTGCGGAGAAGTCACAGGCTTTGGGGTTGGGCAGGCTCTGCCGTCCTGGCTGTGTGGTCTCAGACTGGCTGTCCTCCCGCTCTGATCCCTAACTGCTTTGTCATCTGTAGAACAGGGTGTCAGCGTTACCCTTTCTCGGGGCTAACGTGAGGCTGCTGTGAAGGCATCAAATGCAGAGCCTGAGACACGGCAGGGCCTAAACGGCAGCTACGTGTGCTAAAGTGTCGAAACATGGGAGACGCCTAGTTAAGGACTCAGTCGCCCCTCTCGTTCCTAAGGACAAAGTGAGGCGAATGATGCAGAATTTACTCAGGTTTACAAATGAACACCTAGAAGGTTAGACTGGACAGAGCATGGTCCCTGTGCTGCTGCGTTTAGCCCTGTGAGACCCTAGAAGTGTCGCCATTATGGGGGATGAACCTGCTCTGCTCAAGGCACGGCGGCGGTGGGGGTGCGGATGCAGACACACGTCCTGTGGCCTGAGCTGGCAGCAGCATGGTAGGACCCAAAGGTTACCCTGGGGGCCGACCTCCTCCACAGCAGCCCTGAGGGCCCCTCTGCAAATTGCCCTATCGTGTGGCCGAGGCACCCTGTGCAGGACCCAGGGCCACCCCCGACGGGCCAGCCGGCTGTAGTCGCGCCTCGTCTGTGGCTCTGCTAGCTCAGGGTCTGCAGAGCACCCCCCTTGTGCCGGGCACCGGTGTGTGAAGGTGAAGCAGCTGCGGTGCCTGTCCCCAGGGTCCTGTGCTCCGGACAGAGCGAGAGGAGGATGGGCAGGCAGGGAACCCCCACGTAGGGTGAAGAGGCCATGGTGGGGGCGAACATGGGTGCTGGGAGGGATGGGGTGGCCTAGAGGCAGCCACTGTGAGATGGCACCTGAAGGCTGAGGGAGTCTGGGTGGGCGAATGTGGGGGCTGGGAAAGGCACAGGGAAAAGGGGACCCAGGGGAGGGACCACAGCAAGAGCATGTGTCTCGTGGCAATACGTGTCTGGGAACCAGAAGCAGGTGGCCCGCTTGCCCGCCCTGCCTTGCTGGCCCCTTCTCTGCCCTCTAATAACCTCTCCTCCAGTTTCGCTCTGGCCCAGTGCTGCCCGATGGCCCTGGCTCTTGCCTGCTGCTGCCCTGTAGCACCCCAGGTGGGCCTGGCCCCCCAGAGCAAGCTCCACCATCTGCTCCTGGAGCAGGATGCGATTTCACGCAGAGCCACCAGGAGCCTGTTGATGGCTGAGCTGACTGCGGCGTGGAAGCTCCTGGGGCCCTTGAGGCCACGCAGGCAGCATGGGAAGCCACGTGGTCCCAAGCAGGCCCGGCAGGTGCAGGGCAGAGTCTTATTGGACAATGGGACACCTGTCCTGGGCGTCAGGCGGCCCGGGCTCCAGTGCCAGGTCTGCCAGGAACCAGCCTCCCTTGAGCACCCACCACATGGTACCTCGGGGCTTCTAACAACCAGGCCCCTGCACTGGTGGAGACCCTCATCTTTCTGGTTTCCTAACACACAGGCCCCATCTCTGGAAAGTGTCCAGGCCCAGCTCTCGTTCTCCCACTGGGGAAACGGAGGCTCATCTTGGTGCCCACGTCACACACGCAGGAATCCCGGGCAGGCACCTGTGGCCGTGGGCAGCCGAGTGGCTGAAGCAGTTCATGTCCTCGTGCAGGGAGGAGCCCATGCCGTTGGCTTCCAGCATGCTGAGGAGGGGGTCGGCGCCCCGGCTCAGCAGCAGGCTGACCAGCTCGTAGTTCCCTGAAAGACAAGGGGGGCAACGCTGGGGACAGTGAGACGGTGGCTGAGCAGGGTGCTGAGCACGGGGAAGGGGGAGAGGGATCCTCCAAACTGAGCGAAGGAAGAAATACATAAACCCCGTGTTCGTTTGCGTTTGGCAGGGTGAAGTGGAGGTAAGAGGGAGACGGGAGGAAGGAGGCTGGCTGTGCCCTGCCACCACGCCCCCTCCCTGGGCCCCAGAGGGAAGGGCCTGCTGGGTTCTGCCTGGTGCCGAGCTCAGCAGAAGCACAGGGCAAGGGGAAGCCCCTCAGTGGCTCAGAGGAGAGGTCTCAAGGCCCGCCACAGACCCCTGCTACACAGACCTGTCTGTCCAGCTATGTCCCCAGGGAGGCTGGGTGACACTGCAGGGAAGGACCCTTGCTGGGCAGGGCAGTGGTGCACCTACCGGCCGCAGAGGCTAGCTGCAGGGGCGTCTCCGCGTAGCTGTCCTCGCCGCTGTTGACTGCAGAGCCCTCCACGTGGGCGCCAGCGTCCAACAGCAACTGCCAGGGGCACAGAGGAGGAGGGCACCACTCAGCACGGTGGGGCATCGGGGAAGGGCCGGGGGAGGCTTTGTGGGACAGAGACTTTGGTTCTCTCCAGGCATGTGACCAAGGCACAGCCTACCTGACAGCCGAGGAACTGGAACTTTAGAACTCCAGGTTACGCTTGGGGCTCAAAGTTTCTAGAATCTTCAACTCTTGTGGCCTTAGCCCAAGCCCCTAAGCTATGAGGACTTCTGAGCTATTTCTTTCTTTCAAATGCTTTCTTATAAACTGGCTGCAACAGCCTTCCCGAGAACTCATGCACACAAGCAGGATAGAAAGTGCTGCCCCTAGGGGTAAACGGAGACTCTAGTGGCAGCAGGTGTTAGAGTCAGAAAGAGCAGGGTGCCAATGCTGGCACCTACCAGTGAATAACGTGGGCAGATCCTTCAACTCTCTGAGCCTCAGTCTTCCTCATCTACTAAATGGGAAGAGAGGCTGGCCATGCAGTATTATTGGTGATTCAACAACACTATGCTCAATAGCCAGTGGCTTTTAGGCATCTCGTCGGAGAGGTCTGACGCCACCCCAGGCCGGCAGGTGGTGGCTGGAGCAGAGTGTCTCGGTCCAGAACAGCAGGGGGCCTCTCCCCATTCTAGCAAGGGCCAGCTTTACCAGGGCACAGACAGGGCAGGGTTAACAGATACCAAGCAGTGCCAACTGAGCCGGGCCTGGCTTTGCCTTGGGGCAGGGGTGGTGCTGGCATCCCTCCAGTGGGTGACTTTCGGCTGCGTCTCACCTGCCCTGACCGGCTGCTCTGGAGGGAGTGACCTTCCAGCCTTCCCAGACTCCTGGAAACCAAGCCTTCCTCAGAGCCTGATGGCAGTCTAGGGGAAGCCTGCCTGCCCCTGCCAGGCGGCCAGGAGTGAGGCGTGCAGGCTGACCCCGGCCCCCTGCGGTGTGAGGGGCACAGGGGGACGGCGGTCTGCTGGAGACTCATCAGTCACAAACCAGCTGTGCCCCGCCACCTGTGCCAGGGCCAGGGCCATGGGGGTGGAGGCCTGCCCATGGGGTGAAACTGGGCACCAGTCCAGGCAAGCCCAGGGCCCGGCCCTGCAGACTCAGTCTAAGCTGAGGTCAGGGCTTTGCTGTGCGGCAGCCAGTGGGTAACGGCCACTTGCCGAGCCTTTACATAGGCCGGGGCTGTGAACAGGCCGGCGTGACCCCTGCCCGCAGAGGCCTCACGACCTACGAGAGAGCATCGTATGAACTCCTGGGACGAGTGTTGTGAAGCCCTGAGGACCCCAGCACCCTGAGGACTTGGGAGCCGAGGGTGTGTGGCCAGTGCCCCGCTGGCGTGGGGAGCTGCTCTGCCCACAGCTTCACTTCTAGAACCACGCCGGCACAGGTACCTGGGCCAAGGTGGGCGACACTGTGGCTTGGCTTGACAGGTGAGCTGTGCCAATCTGAGTCCCCTCGGAGCTGGGAAACAGAGAAACTAAGCCTGTTCATGGGGAGGGGACAGAACTGGATGGACACCATGCTAGAGAGCTGGCGCTGCAGAACTCACGAGGGGAGAGAGCAGTGAAGGGTCAGGAAGATGGCTGGGGGTGAGACAGCCGAGCAGACACTCCTAGAGACTTACCGAAGGGGACACGGAGGTGCCAAGAGGCACAATGGGACCTGTGTACTGCTTGGACCTGGGTCTTGTTTCTGAAAATTCCACATGTACCTTCCACTAGCCTTGTTGATCAGGTGAGCAGATTTGCGGCAACTACTCATGCAGCTGGGGCTGGGGCTGTGCTCGGGGCCCAGCTCACCTGGTAAGCTGAGGGAGGGGTACAGTGTTCACCTGGCAGGAGCTCACCTGGACCACAGAGATGTGTCCGTGCAGCACAGCAAATGTCAGTGAGGTCCAGTGCCGGCTGTCGGGGTGGACGGAAGGGTGCCTGGGAGAGTTGCTTGGAACCTGGAAAACCCCACAAATGATCAGTGTTTCCTGCACAAGTGATACAGGCACCTGAGCAAAGGAAGTCCCCTGCAGGGATGGCGAACAGGAGTCAACTCAAGTGCTTTCTACATTCGATTTGTAATGTCTGCCTGGAGCATCATGTGGACAAGGCTTGAAAGGAAAGGATGATATTTAATTAATGATGCCTGCCCTGGGCAAAAGATGGCAGAGGGGGAGCACTTTATGCCTCAGAAGGAGGCAGAGCTAGAAGTAACTGGGGGTGGTAGGGATGGCTGGGGATTATCAGGTTGGTGAAAGGGAGAAGATGCTATTAACATAGGAACAGAATCAAGGCCATTCTCTCCACTCAGCTGGCTCTCTCTCAGACAGAGAGCCCAAATCCTCTTTCTAACTGTGGTCTCTGTGCATCTTGTCTCTGCAGACCTCTGAGACACATCGACTGAGGTGTCCAAAACATCACACCCAGCATGGCGGATGGAGACCTTGGCATGGTCTTTTGGTGGGCTGGGGCCCGGGTGCAGCTCTTTGGGGCCTCCTCACCTGGATGTCCAAGTTTGCCCCGGCATCGATCAACATCTGGACCATGGCTTCATCGCCGGCAGCACAGGCGTACATCAGCGGCGTCATACCCTGCGTGGATCAAGGGCAGACGCTTAATTGTCTGAGGACAACACACCACACGTATCCCACTACCCCATGGCCCTCTGCCCCAGAAACCTCGGGCCTGGCCTCTGCTTGGTGCGGTTGCTCACGCCGGGCTCTCCTGCACCTGGCGCCTCCTGGGCCCACGGGCCACAGGATGCTGGCGGGAGAGTGGGGCATTGCCAGGGGCACTGCGGGACCCCAGAGGGCCGTGAAGCACTGTCAGACGTGGTGCAAAGGCCACCTCTGCCACAGGGAGCTGTCAACTTTCTACAAGTCACTTGCCCTCTCTGTGCCTCAGTTTCCTGATCTTTAAACCGTGAACAAAGTATCTATTTCATAGGCTGGCTGTAACGAGTGTGAGTTACTATGTGTAAAGTGCTTTGTACAGAATAAGCTTGCCTTGAAAGCTAACTAATTAAAATAACCACCACCCCATCACTGCTGCTACGCTCTATTGCCACACTCCAGCCCGCCCCAGGCCCCCTGCATGGAAACCACCGTGCTGAGTGAGCTCATTTAATCGCCATAATATGCCCCTTTGCGAGGTCCTGTTATTACCTCCATTTTACAGATGAAGAGCAGAGAAGGGGGATTAACTGCCCAAGGGCACCTACTAGGAAGAGGTAGGATTCGGGGCAGAACCCAGGTCACCGTGAGCTGTGAAGCCCATGCTTTCAGGCCCCTCACGAGAGGGGAAGAAGTGTCCGACTTTACACGTGGCGCTACCGAGCAGTTCAGAGTTTGAGAGCCGAGTCCCGATCCCCCCACGTTCAGGTGGGCAGTGGCCAGGCTGCCTCCCGGCCGGGCATCCTCCCCTGCGGCCAGCAACAGCAAAGGCCGCAGCGCCAAGTGTTTATTCCACGTTTGTCTGGCGCCCTGCGATGTTATTTATTGGTTATTTGTGTGGAGACAAGATCTCTGCCCCTCGTAAATCCTTGCCTAGTGCCGAGAGATAAAGAAATGGCCCGCGATTAGTCACGGGGCGACGAGTGTTTGCCCGCAGAGCAGTCTGTAAACACAAGGTGTGGGACAAACAGGACCAAGCACTCAGAGAAAAGCCAGCTGCAGCGGGGGGTGTGGCTTTGTCCCATCCCTGTGCATGCACTTGACTTCTTTTTTCTGCACACATCTGTACGCAGTTGGGAGTTTAAACCACGGGATGAGCCCTGTGAGGAGAAACTCCTTTTCCTCGGGTTGTCCCCATCCCTACCGCCAGGCATAAGAACAGGCTAAATAAAAAGGCTGATTAAGAGATTCCAGGGACTGTCATCATGTCAACAGCAGCATGACTACAATAAGCTCCATAAGGCAACAAGAGCCAGCAGAAAAGGTTACTGAGCTGTTTACTTTGCGCTAGATGCAAAATCCTTACACTAACTCTCCGTGGCAGGTACTGTTATGCCCCATCTTAGAGGTAAGTAAACAGGCTCCTCAGGGAGGGAGACTTGTCCAAGATGCCACAGCCCTTACGTGGCCGGCTGAGTCTTACGAGACTCCACCTCCTCCTTCCTTCAGGATAAAAGCTCCCACAAAAGCCCTGGAGCCTGCGTCGACAGAGAGGCCTCCGAGAGATCTGACACCCAAGCCTGTCACCTGCTGCTGCCCTCCTGAAGCCCCGTCCAGCCCTCTGGTGTCCCCCCGCCCCTGTCCCAGCACACGCCCCGACTGCCGGGCCTCCATGCTCCTGTCCTTATCGCCCCCTTCCCTGGAACGATGCCTTCCCGACTCCTCTCTGCTCAGTCCCAATCCTGTCCTCCCCCGGGCCTGATTCAAACCCCTCCAGCAGGAAGCCTTCCCTGGCTGTCCCGTCCCACCATCGGAGTCACCCCGGCCTTGCGGTTCACCTAGAGCTTCGTCACATCCTGCATCACACTGTCATCTCATCTCAGGACGCTGCCGTCACTCCCGACTGCCACTCAACTTTCCCCGTGTTTCTGTGTGCTCGTCCAAACCACACAGTGCCGTTACGAGCAGAGTCAGTGCTCTCGAAACAGCGTCAAATACGGAAATAGGATACTCCACAGTGGTTGAGAGTCTGGAGCCGGATTGCTTGGATTCTTCTCATCCCAGCTCCCCTCCTTGCCAGTTGTGTGACCTTAGGTAGAACAGCCTTTCCCTACCTTAGTTCCCTCCTCTATAAAATGGGGACAGTAACAGCACTACATCACAGTGCTACTGTCAAGATCAAATGAATTAATCTGCATGAGGCACTTACAACAATGCCTGGAACACAGTAAGTGTTGTATAAATGTTAGCTGTCCCCAGCAAAAACTAAACAGCACAACAAACACGAAAACTTAGGTTAAATTCTATCTAAAATTGTAAATCACCTCCAGTATTTCCTATCCTTTTTCCTGCTTCGTTTTAGTCCTTAGCACTTTTCATTAATACTCTCTATATTTTCTGTGTTTATGTTTCTCATTATCCGCCTCCCCCGCTAGAACGTCAGCTCCATGAAGGCAAGGGCTTCCACGGCCTGGCGAGTAGCCGGCACACAACACGCGCTAACGAAGTGCTAGCGATTATTAGCCCTAGCTGGACGTGAAGCTGACGCCTCTGGACTCTTTCCCAGCCTTGCGCCATCTGGGAGAGTTGCCAGCAGCCCAGCCAAGGAAGCAGAATCCACATCACAAAGGTTTTCCAAGGCCCGCCAGAAGTCTCCAAGTGGACGTTCCCCTCAAACCGGTAGGGCACGATTCGGGAATTCAGGAGGTGCCCACCTCTTAGAAGCACAGAGCCAAGCCAGTCTCAGGCTTAGGACTGAAGGGGCCGTGCCGCCAACTCTGGCAGTTGTGAGTTGCCAGCTCTTATCCCTGAGTTTGGCCTGAGCTTTCAGAACATACCTGGTCATCCATGGTGTTCACCCCGTCTGGTCCTAGGGCCTCGATGGCCTGGTTGATGAGGTCCGTCCTCCCGCAGTTGAGCATGCGGAAACCCAGATCCTGGTTGAATTTTTCAGTAGCTGCTCGGGCATCCAGCCTCCGGAAGGAACTGAAACAGCACTCGGGTCTGCCCAGAGGAGACCCGGAGATGTGTGAGCGTGACTGTGCGTGGACTCTTTCTGCTAGGACGCTGCCTCTCGGTGACCCGTGCGTGACACAGCTGTGTGAGGCTGCATCGAGGTGAGTGAGGATGGGTGGGGGGAGGCCTGGGAATTGTGATCAGATCAGTGATGATTGTCCCCGTAACGTTCTGTGACATGAAGAGCACACACTTCTGCTTTTCTACATACATGTTAAGAAGTGCTCTGAAGGCCGGGCGCGGTGGCTCACGCCTGTAATCCTAGCACTCTGGGAGGCCGAGGTGGGTGGATCGTTTGAGTTCAGGAGTTCGAGACCAGCCTGAGCAAGAGCGAGACCCCGTCTCTACTAAAAATAGAAGGAAACTAGCTAGACAACTAAAAATATATAGAAAAAAACTAGCTGGGCATGGTGGTGCATGCCTGTAGTCCCAGCTACTTGGGAGGCTGAGGCAGGAGGATCGCTTGAGCCCAGGAGTTTGAGGTTGCTGTGAGCTAGGCTGACGCCATGGCACTCACTCTAGCCTGGGCAACAGAGTGAGACTCTGTCTCAATTAAAAAAAAAAAAAAAATGAAGTGCTCTGAGCTCTTGGGAGCTGTCAACTGGCAGGAAACAAGAGTCTCATCTAAAATAATCTATTAGGGGCTGCCCTCAGGAAAAGAAACTCCAGCTTGGGCTTGTCCCACTGCACTTGGTTGTGCACTTTTTGCACAGAGGAGTCTGCACCGTGGCCTATAAAACAGGCATTGTGGCCAGGTTCTACATTCTCTCTCCTTAAGGCTTCCTGGTGGGGCCCAGAAATACCAAAGGGATGGCAGAGGGTGCCCTAGAATCCTGTTTGCAGTCAACCCAACCTGCCAAGGAAAGTCACAGGTAAAACCTGTGCCTACGGAGGGCACAGCACAGATGTCCAATGGGCAGCTTTAGCCTGCAGCCTTGGTTGGGTCAAAGTGTAGAAAGCTCACATTTTATAATGAAGTTTGGCATTCACCGTGGAGATGGAGGCCGCCATAACTCGGGTTCGAGCAGGGTGTCAAAAAAATGATACAAGGCTCTCAGAGGCCAAGGATGGCCAGAAGGGAGCTTCTCCAGAAGAGCTCCTTCAGGGAACTAGTCCACTACAAGAGAGGTACTTTTAGAAGGAAATTAAGGGCTTTGGGCTGTAGGGACCTGGGTTCAAGTTAAGGCACCTTACAAGGCTGAGTATCTGTGGGCAAGATACTGTTCGTCCCTGACCTCAGCTTCCCCATCTATAAGGTGGGCACAGCTTCCCTTCTCCAGAGTCATCACGAGGACTAAGATAGGGCACATAGAAAGGAAGGGCTGAAGAGAAGGATGGTAATTACAGGGACGGAGGAAAGAGAGTGCCCCTTCCAACCTCTCACCCTGCGAAACCATCCCAAAGAGACGTGTGAGTTCTCCTGCCCAAACCCAAAAGCGTGTCTGCCCTGTGTAGCAGAACAGCGGTCTGCAGAGGACACTCTTAGAGCAGCTCGAACGCGCTGCAGCCCCTGTTCTCTGACCCCCTCGCATCCCCAGGAGAAGGGGGCACAGGGGAGCCGTGGGGGCTGGACACGAATGCTGGGGCCTCCCTCCTCCCCAGTTCCGTACTTGAGCTGCCGGGGTTCGCAGTCCAGACCGGGCAGCAGCAGCCGGGCTGCCTGCCGGATGTCGCCGCTGTCCACGGTGAGGCTGCGGCGGTGCTCTGCGTAGGTGATGGCCACGCGCATCCACTCCATCAGGGGCGGCAGCAGCATGAAGGGCCTGCGAGGCAGCAGAGAGAGGGTCAGGCCCGGGTGGGTGCGCCCTGAGGGCAGAAGGGGACCCTTCGGCACACACACTCTCAGAGGATGGCCGCCAAGGCTAATCACCCCTTGGAGGGGACCTGCTCCCTCTGCTCGCAGAAACCCCGACCGTGCCCCCAACGCATGGAATCCTCGCCACGGAATTCCCGTCACAGGCCGTTAGCAGAACCTGAGGGCCCCTCGGTGGCCAGTGAAAGAAGGGGTTCACCAATGTGCAGAATGGGGACTCTTGCTCCCTCTAGAGAATTCAGCCAGAGTCTCCAGGTCTCCCTGTCTCTGCAGAGGGGAGAGACGGCCTCCTGGGCTGCCGGGTGCAGAGCAGCGTCTAACAGGCCCTGGTTCCAAACCCAGCTGTGCCACCAGCAGCGTGTCACCATGACAAACACACCCCGAGCCTGTTTTCTCCACCTGTAAGGTGGTGACACCTCCTCCTCAGGGTTGTTCTGAGGCTAAATGAAACGATGTTTATTTTATTACACCACACATGTGTAGGTAACAGTCATTTCTTCCTCTCCTGGCACCTAGGCTGAGGTGGGTCCTATGTCACCTCCTGAGCCAGGCCAGGGTGGCCCCTAGTTTGGCGCTCAGGGAGGAGTGGCAGCCCCAAGTGCCACAGGGAGGAATGGCCCTAGCGGCCCGTGTGACACCAGGAGCCCATGGGAGCTGGGAGAGGCGTCCTGCCTGCTCTCAGAGCTGCAAACTCCCAGGACGCCTTTGTAAGCGCGCTCTGTGGCACCAGGGGGCGCCATTCACACGGAACGTGACGCACGCAGGGCCTAACACTGTGCTCAGGCCCCGCCCTCTCTGCCAGGCCTTTCCTCTTCCACCCAGGGAGGGGGTCCACTCACTCCTGAGGGACACTGGGGAGACCCCTTCACAGTCCAGCAGGTCTCCCTGCCGTGGCGGGGCCCCAGTCTTTGGCTTCATAACTCAGTGGACACCAGCCTGCTCTGCCCAGAGTGGACGGAGCTCTTCCCGCAGGGGGTCACGGGAATGAGGCTGTTCTCTCTGATGACAGCCCAAGTTGCCTCCCAGCTCCTGCCTGTGTGCCCGGCCCCTCCTGCTGCCTGCCACCCTCATCCTTCCTTTCAAACTAAGCCAGGCAGTGGGCACCAGGCCAGGGCAGGCAGCCAGTCCCCCAGGCACCCCCGCTCCCTCTGGGCTCTTGGAGCACTGGGCCTGTGCTGTCACCGCTGTCCCTCCCCTTGACACGCAGCTAAGTACCGAGACCAGGAAACAGGCATCCATTCTCTCTCCTCGGCTACTGCGCAAGCCAACGACAGGGAACCAGCCAGAGACTGCCCCCGGAATGCCTATCTCGGGCCTCCAAAAGCTTAAGCCATCTCCGAAGTTTTACAAGTTTCTCTCCTTGAGGGCAAAGGATGCTTTTATTTAAAAAACTAGCAAAGAAAATACAGATACTCTCCAACTTAGGATAGGGCCACACCTCAATAAACCCATCATAAGTTGGAAATATCTTAAGTGGGAAATGCATTTAATCACACCTAACCTACTGAACGTCAGAGCTTAGCCTGGCCTGCCTTAAACGTGCTTAGAACATTCACATCAGCCTGAATTGTCTCACACAAAACCTGTTTCATAACCCAGCATTGATATCTCGTGTAATTGACTGGCTATCGCACTGAAACGGAAAGGCAGGATGGCTGTGTGGGCAAAGCGTGGTTTCCACTGCACGCGGATCACTTTTGCACCATCGTAAAACTGAAAAATCCTAAATCGAACCATCGTAAGCCAGAGACTGTCTGTGATCAGATGTGACCTCAAAGGGACTTCATCTGGGAAGCTATTTGGATGTACTGGTTCTGTCATTTTGGAAAATGTTTCTGGGTTTGAGTCACTTAACTGGTCCACCGCATGTACCCATCGGTGTGCAGAGGGGGCCACAGGCTGGGAAAGCCTCGCTGGCCCTGGCCTTTCGAGGATGCCCAGGACCTCACCCCTGCCACCAGGACACACCAGACCACCGGCACTCACGGTCCTCACGCCCACCCTGCCCACTCCCTCGTGAGACTGAAGCGCTCCCACTTGTGCTGGTCTAGAACCTATTTATTCTTCACGGCTCAGTTCCAATGCCACCTCCTTCCAGAAGCCTTCTCAGATTCTCTCTTCCTGACTATTCCTTCTAAGGACAGGAATGATGCCTTCTTCACCTCTGTGTTCTCCAAAATACACCCACCCTGGGGCCTGACACAACAGGTCTTCAGTAAATGCTTGCTGACTAAAAGTATAGATGAGTATAGTATAAAGACCCTAGGTTTTCAGTTACGAACCTAATCATGTTTCTGCCCAGAAAAGAACTGTGCATTAATGTTCCAGGGCCGCGTGGTGACTGATTGGAGTGGGAAGTTGGGATTCCCTGGGGGGAACTTGTATGGTCTGTGAGCAATCCGTTCATGAATTACCCTTCTGTTTACAAGATCTCCCTTGATCATAAATGCCCATTTAAATTCCCCCCAAATATGTTCGAATTTCATAATTCTTATATGACTAGGCTAGAAGACAAGCTTAGAGACATAATTCTATGTATCAGTCCTGCTGATTCCAGGGGAAGCCAGAAAGATACTCGTGGACTTGCCAGCTATTCCTCCCTACTGTGCCCAGTGGCCAAGACAAAACCCCAGGTATGGCCACGAAATCTCTAAGTGGGCATCTCCCACTGCACTAGGGGAAATCCAAGAGGGAATCCAGGAATCCGTGAAGTCTAATCAGATGGGGTCTTTTTTTTTTTTTTTTTTTTGATACAGAGTCTCACTCTGTTGCCCGGGCTAGAGTGCCGTGGC